AAAAGAAATTATTAATTAAAAGTCTTAATAATTAAAAGAATAGTAATAATATTATAAATATCTTGCTATTATTACTATGCTATCTTTAATAAGGTAATTAGCTAACCTTTAAAACTATTAATATAGTTAATTAAAACATTAATCCTTTTAAAGTATACTTATATTAAGTTTTAAAGATACTTAGCAATATTAATAAAGCTCTAAACTTTTATAATTATAATTAGCATAAGCTAATTATAAATAGCTATAATTTTTATTAAGTTTATTATAATGCCTTTTTTTAAGATAAGGAAGCTTAAAAATATATCCTTATAAATAAAAAAGGAGGTTTTTTAAGTATTAAGAATAAAACTATAATAATATAATTATTAAAAAATTATAAATAAATATTTATATAACTATAGCATAAAATTTACCTATATAGCAATATTATTTAAAAAGCTATATATAATATCTTAAAGGTTTTAAAACACTTTCTTAATAAAAGCTTAAAAGGTAATTAAAATATTATATAAGCTAAATAATATTATTAATTATTTATATAAGCTAAAAGGGGTAATAAATATTATCTTTTTAATATTTATATAATAAATACTAATATATTAAAAGCTATCCTTTAAATTAATAAAGATATAATATTTATAACTTGCTATATATTAAATTTAATTTATTATATTAAGCATAAGGTATGCATATTTCTTAATTTACTTATTAAGCTCTTAATAGTTATAATAAAAATGCTAAATTATTTATTATAATTTAAGTGCATTTTAGCTTAAGGGAATAGGTTTTTTTAAGATTAAATATAAGGTTAATACTTAAAAGCTCTTGCTTTTCTTAATTAATATTCCTTTATATGCCTTAATGAAGTTATAAATAGCTTATTTTTATATTAAATTAAATTACTAAGAAAGCTAATAAAATAATAAGTTATTATTAATATTAATATAATGCTTAATCTTTATTAAAAAATTCATTTAATGCTTCTTTAAGTTAAATAATTTAAAGAACTTAGCATAATATTCCCTAAGATAACGTTAAACTTAAGGGTTATTTATAAAAGTATTTAAATATTATTTAAAAGCAAAAGGCTAAGTATTTATAGCTAAAAAGACCGTTTCCTTTACTAAGTAAATTAATTACTAATAAATAAATGGGATTAATTTTAATTAATAAGGAAATATAAATAAGTAAATAATATTTTATAAAGTATAATAAATTATTTATTAATAAAAGATTATTTTTTTAAGCATTAGCTTTATTAAAAAGGTATTATTAAAAATAACTTTATAAGAAATAATAAATTAACTTATAAAGCTAGTCTTTATAATAAAATAAGCTATTATAAGAATATCTTTAATAATGCAAGGATCCCTGCCTTTAACGCCTTTTATATAAATAAAGTAAGAAGAATTATATAAAGTAAGCTATATTATTAAAGATTTAAAATAATAATAAGTAGCGAAATTATAATTAAAGAAAGTATTAAATTTATAGCTATTAAAAAGGCTAGCTTAAAAAGCATTATAAAGGATATTAATACCTTTATAAGTTAATTTATTATAAATAAGTAATAATTAATTGCTAATACTTACTCTTATAAAGTAAGTGCCTTAGCTATCTTAATTCTTATAATTTAACTTATTAAAAATATTATTAAGCAACTTATTAATATTATTATTATTATTAAATTAAGCAATTAAATTATAATGCTCCTTATCCTTATTATTTAAGTTTAAATTAATAATATAAATATAAATATTTTTATAGCTAAATAAAGGCTAAGAATAAAGCTTTTTATTACGCTAAAAGGAAACTATATTGCGTAAGTAAAAAGCTAAGTTAATGCGCTTACTATTTTTATATAAAGTACCCTTAAGTATAATAAAACGGCTATTATTAGGTATTAAAGAGGTTTTAAGCTAATTAAGCTTAAAACAATAATCTTTTACTTAATAGCCTTGCTTATTGCAATTAAAGCATATATTATCTTTTTTATTAGCTATATTAATATAAGCAAGGTTATCATCTTATTATTTAATTATATAAATTATATGCTTATTAATTTAAGGGTTAAAAATAATAATTTATATAGTTATAGCATTAATAAGTTTAATTTAAGCTATTTCAAGCTTATTAGCCATAGCTAAGCCAATTTATAATTTATAAAAAAAAGTAAAGTTATTATATAGTTAAATAGTTATTTATAAGCTAATATAAATGCTTTGCTTTATTATTTTATTAATATATATCTTAGCTTATTAAATAACTTTCTTAACTATTATAAAAGTAATTATTATTTAAACTTTATTAAAAATCTTAATAAAGATATTAAGCTAATTAATAAAAATCTTATTTAATAATATTAATTAAATTAAAAGGGTATTTTATTAATTTTTTAATAGCTTATAATAAGTATTATAAACTTTTTAAGCAAAGTTAATATATAATTTATCTTTAAAGAAAAGCAAAATAAAAAACATTATTATTATTAAGTAAAGGGCATTATATTTATTAAAAATTTAAATAATAGCTTTAATAAAAAGTAGCTAAATTAGCTAGTTATTTATAGCTTATTAAGTAATGCTAAAAAAGTTACTAAAAAGTTTTATAATTATTTTAAATAGCTATATTTTATAAGGTATTATTATTATTTATAATAAAAATTATATTTTTTTTAATTTATTAAGAATTATAATATTAATTATATTAAGGCAAAGTTTCTTTACAATAAAAACTTTTCTTTTTATAAAAGCTTTTAAGCAAAAGTACTTATTAAGTAAAATAATCGCTAAGAAAACTTTCTTAAGTTAAAAATTAATTAAAGTATAAAGATAATTTATTTAAGTATTACTAATAAAATAAAGATTAAGTTTATTATTATTATAATAATTTATAAACTTAAAAGTAAGAATAATATTATTATTATAAAGATATAATTTTAAAGGCTTAATATTTTTATTTTATTCTTAAGAATATAATTAACTTTTAATAATAAAAGTAAAAATGCTTTAAAGCTAAATATAAAAAATATTATTATATTAATTTATCTTATTATTAATAATCTTTAGCTATTTTTAAAGATTTTTTAGCTATTTATTAAACTTATTATTAATAGCTTTAAAGTTATTTATAAAAATAATAAAAATAATTTATATATTATTTTACTTTATAGCAACCTTTTTTATAAATTAATTAATATAATTATATATAAAAATAATTATAATGCTATAATTACTTATATAAATAGCTATAATATTAAAAGGAAAAGGAAAAGTTATATTAAAATAAAGTAAAAATAATAATAATTAAAAAAATGAAAATTAATAAAAACAATGTTAAATTAATAAATTTTTTATTATTAATATTTATTTAATAATTATTTACTTTATAACTTACTTATTAATTATTAATAAAAAGTATTATAATGCTTATTATTATAACTTTTAACTAGCTTTATAAATATTTACCTATAAGTAATAATTTTAATATAAATATTATTATTATATAAATTAATTAATAAAGTTACTCTTTAAAAGTAAATTGCTAATAAAAGATAAGGTTAATAATAATAATTTAATAAGTTTTAATTACTTAAAAGGTTATTACTTTTAAGGAAAACTATTAATTAATAACATAAAGGTTTATAATTATAATTTTTATTAAATAAGTACTTTAATAAGGTTTTCTTAATAAAAAATAATTATTTTTATACTTCTTTATACACTTAATTTATTAAATAGCATTGCAATAATTATAAGGGACGCTATAAACTATATAGTATGGGTATGTAGGTTGCTTAATTGCTAATTACGCTTAAAGGGCAGTGCCTTTGGTGTTTTGGGCTGCAACGCTGCTTATGTAAGCAGCTGCTTGCTCGCTATTTATGGATCTACATGATTGCATGGAACATGAACGCTATTTTTCTTGCTATTCTTGGTCATTCCGTGACATTCTTCCTTCACAGGCTGCATATTCAGGGGTGGTCGCCCCCAACATCACCTCTACACATATCATGTCGCCAGCTTGGTCTCTGTGGCGTGCGCCATTGGGCCCTTGGCTGCAGATGGGCAGGCTGCTCATTCAGGAGAGTTTTGGGCCATGGGATGACAGCAGGAGGTTCTTCGTCAAACAGATGTGAACACCATCATGCACTCCCCTTGCCTGTGCCTCTTTCAGATTTCCTGGCTGGGATGATTTTGGTCCCTCAAGGTGAAGTCGTTCTTCAGGTGGTCCTTTCTGAACCTGAAAGACAGCCAAAATTGTCACTAAAATAGCTGTCTCAGTGCATAAAGTTGACCGGCTGTGATCTGATCGGCAGTGAATGTGTAGCTAAACAAGGCTCCTTGAGCATGTGCAGGGGACAAAACAAATAGATTTTAGGAAATTTGGATTAAAGAAGCATACAGATCTCAGACATAACAGCATTCTCATGTCTTTCTTCACCAACGATCAATAATCCAGTTTATTCATGAGCATACTGCCAACTTCGTACTGTGTCAGCTTCAGATGTTGCAGTTATGGCAGCTTCAGGCTTCAGACTCGGCATTGAGGTCGAGGCTCTCTTGATTCCCAAAGACCAAAAGACCTTACCCCTGGGCCAAGAGTTTGAGAAGTCTGCCGCACTGGTTGCTAAGAGTTACAACTCTATGAGAGACGCCAAGAAGAATTACTCCATGCGAGCAGACATAGGAAGAAAGTACCAGGGAGTTGAGTATTAGGACTGGGTCCTCACAAATGACATCACACTGAAGGGTGATGAGAAGATGATGTGCATGCCGAAGACCTGGTTATTCTCTCCCTCGCTACGTCGGTCTATTCACTAATGTTTTGAATCCGGCCTAGACTTGATTGAAATTGTATCCCCAATCCTGAGAGCCGCCCCAAGTGAAGGCTTGGGAAGATGGCGGCACGAGATCAGCGACATGTTCAAGTACCTAGATACACTCTGTGCTATTCGTTCTAACAGAAGTTGTGGTTTCCATATACATCTCTCCCCGATGGGAGGCGAGTGGACACTCAATGAGCTCAAGGGCATATCCATTGGAATTATTCACTTCGAGCGAGCCTTTGAGGCCATGGTCCCAGAGATGCATCGAGGGAACCAATTCATCAGGAGCAATCGATTCTTTGGCAACGAGCAGCTGAAGAATTTAAAACACTCTGAATGCATCGCAATGATACAGTCCCAGAAGTCCGTTAAGAGTCTCGCCGTAGTCATGAGCCCGGACCGATACACGACTTGGAATTTCGAGAACCTGAAGGAGGACAGCCGCAAGGGCACTCTGGAGTTCCGCCAGCCCCCGGGGCAGACACATGCAGCCGGTTGTCTCTCGTGGATTGAGCTGGCGATCAATTTCGTCCGGTCTGCGCGGCGCAAGGACTGGCACGCCAATATCAGAGAATACCCACAAACCGTATCTGGTCTCAAGCAGTTCGTCATGGAGGGCTTCGTGGAAGGTTTAAGCAAGTGGAATCACCTGGAGCCTTTGATGCACAGTAAGAATGCAGACTTGAGTATTGTTCCCAAAGCACCTGAGTACAACGTTGCATTGATTACAAAAAAGAAGAGAGAGGATAAAAAGAAGAACATACTCATGGAGAAACTTAAAGAGAGCATCAAGAAGGAGCTGAAAACCCTCCTCGCGTCTGCCAGTGGTTCCGGCCAGCATTCTGAATATACTGATGAGGATCAGAGGGCGAGGGGTTGCCGGAGGGAGAAGAGACGCATGCAGAGATAGGATGAGACGCAGAGGCGAACAAGTGATTCTAGGATCGTACTCAACAGCGTCTTATTCTACAGTAGAATGCAAAATCAAGATGCAGCCCATACCCACATGTTTCGACTTTCTTTTTGCGCTGTCACCTGGGAGACGGCTAAAGGGGAAGACCCGGAAAACAGAAAGAAAAGAGGGACTGTAAACACAGCTGCTCCTTGGAGCAACATGCCCAAGTTGTTAATACCCAGTTGAAGGTTGTCAAGATAAGCATCACCATCACACCCATCGAACCTACGTTTCATTGGCCCTCCTTAAGTACTGGCGGTGTGCACCAGACTCAAGTGGAGGTTGGTGAGATTCCGGACACGAAGAGCTTGCTGAATTAGGCCTGGTTGATACTATGCTGACGAGTTCTGCCTAGATATCTACCGAAGTGCCTAGGTATTACGGCACATGGGCCGGTGCTGGTCGGTTATGGCGTCTTGACTGTGACTTGTGGAAACTAGGCCCTACATGCCGTCTTTGCCTCGATATAATCGCTGCCAACGTCAGACCGTTTTCCAGAGCTCGAACCGCCGCACGCGAGTGCACTTGTCGTACTTGTGTACGCAAATCGCAGCTGCTGTCGGGAGATTAAATATACTACTGCAAGGATTAGGCGGCTTAGGACAATAGATTAAATTTGAAACCGGCTGTCCAGTCCTGACTAGGAAAGCTTCAACTCGGAGCTGGAGTGGAACAATTCGCTGCTCGTCAGGTCAGCATTGGGCATGAGGTGGCCATTGTGGGATCCGAAATGAGACAAAATCTCAGCCATTGCGCACTGCCACTCTGGGCTCTGATGAGCCTCGCGCGACACCGACGTTTGTTGGTGCGACGACTCACACAATTACGAGGAGCCACTTTAGGGACCGGTCTACTTTGTAAATATAATCCGGGTGGAGGACCCCTTCTCATCCACTGTCATCCTGCTCGCGCTGGACCCACAGCGGCCAGGGGTCCAGATCAACTGCCCCAATCGCTTAGGACCCCCTTTTCCCCAAATTCGAAACAAATTAGGACGGTTACCGCTGGTACAAGCTCATTTTCGGAAGATCCGAGAGGGTCGCTTGAGTGCATTATTAGTAGTAAGAAACGTGGCCAGGACCCTGAATATAGATCACCGCTGCAAATCCAGGGTCCACCAACTTGTGACTTGTTACAACGAAACTGCGAGAGTCAAGAGTCAGGAGTATTGAAACCGGCTCCCTCGCCGATCACCAGCTTTAAAGAACAAATTGAGCAGTACTCTCCCTTTCATTCACCTCACCAGATAGCCAGCCGACCGTTCTCACACCAAAACCACACAACCACACAAAATGAAGCTATCATCAATCGCTTCAAGCTTTCTGGGCCTGCTCTCAACGCAGGAGCCAAGCACCGCACCAAGCCACACCCCGACCTACTCCCCGTCGGTCTATATACTCCAGACCACACCACAAGCCACAAGAGCCTCAGCCGAAGCGCTGCGAGCACTGGGATACAGCCGAGCCTGCACCGGCCCCGAGGCACAATGCAGCCAGTCCGGGCCTACCTACTCCGAGCTCAGCACGGGCGAGGACGCCCTAGACGCCTTCAGGCCCAACGGCGACTCCAAGTTCATCATCCCCTGGGACCTACGGGCACAGCATAGCAGCACACAGGTCCGCGGCCACCAGAAGAGGTCTGCGTCATCAGACCAAGCGTCCGCCAACGACACCGCCGCGCGCGCCGCGTCGGTCCGGGCTTTCTACTCCCAGGCGAAGGACTCGGATCGGCTGCTGGAGCTGGATGTGTACGCGTCCGGTCAGGGGGTGGAGCAGGATAAGTGGATAGACCTATGTTCGTTCTTGGGCCTCGGCTATAGCATGGTCGAGAGGCAGAAGCTGTGGTATTTCCCGAAATAGGCTTTTTTGTGTGGCAGAAACTGCATTCAATCTGGCGTTTGGAATTCTTTTCATAGCGATTGCTTCTCTGGAACTTGGGTACTCTTGATGATCAATGTTGCATCAGCTGCACGAACCTTGCTCATGCATGACAAGGACTGCGGGTTGAAACCTGTCCATTGGATATTTCAGAATGCGGGACAACATTTCGAATGACAACATAACAACATATATGGCTTTACAGCTATGTCTTTCAACCTGATCCTCGAAAGTGACTGTACTGGCATATTCTGCCTGTATCGTAGCAAGCTCACTGTCCCGGGCCGGCCATACATTATCAACAGAATTGTGAAGCCCACTCTAATTCGGTAGTTTGACCTATGAGACATACCTGAAGTCACCAGTGCAATACTGACACTAAAATGCCCTTGAAGGCTTTGATACTAGTATGCATAAGTTAAGATTGTACTAATGCTGAGATTGTATGTAACGACCAAGCAAAACAGTTCTCAGGATGTTCATAACTAGATGACTTTCTGACCTGAAAAGTGCAAAGCACAGTTAGTCCGTTCGCGATGCTTCCGCGAATAATATTACAGACTTGTTGATCTATTGCATCTTTAAAGGCTATTTTGATATCTCTATGCCAGGTGCCATCTCTACGCCAGCTTCCTGTGGTCCTTCAGGCGCAACTATAACACAAAGGAACGTAAGGGACGAGCACTACATCCTTTAAAGATCACGGACCAAGTGCTACTCAAAGTGCCAGACACCTGATTCACACACCATTGTGATCAGTGTACTGACGAGGTCTGCAGATCGCATTCTGTTTCTAGACGACTAAGACTTCTGATAATCGAAACCATCGTCTCCATTGTCGTTAACCACAGCATATCGGTACAAATCTCATGCAAATGTACCATCAGCTGTGCAAACCAATTTAATTTGTGTAGAAGTGCACAAAATCACTGCCAGCCCACAAGCATTGAAATTAGGATGAGAATATCGCAGACTCAAAGCATAACTCGCACGCCGCCTTCCAAGCAAAAAGCATGCAGTGGTATATGCGCAGGTACTTTCGACACAGCCCAGTCCGCGCCTCACTTTTCAGGCGACAGAAAACTGCAGCCTGGTCTCAGGCTTCCCCACGACGACCTTCCAATTCCCCCTCCGGTCCTCCCTCGACCTCACAGACACGCGCACCGGCGTCGTCGGCCGCGACACAGCCGAGAAGTTGAACCCGTCCTGGAGCGTCCCCCACGCCTGACCCGCGCGCCCCTCGCCGGCCGGAGAGACGTCAAGCCTCAGGGCGACCAGGGCGACCAGGACCAGCACGCCCGTGCTCGCGTAGAACCGCGCGGGGCAGACGTGCGGCGCCACGCCCCAGACGGGCAAGGACATGGCCGGGAGCTGGTTCGGGGGCACGACGCCGCCGGCTGGGTCGTTGTCCTTGCGCATCCGGATGAACCTGCGTGGGTCAAAGTCGTCTGCGTCCTCGCCCCTGTGAACAATGTCAGCGATGCCATTCGCTTTCAACTTAACGTACAACATTTCAGAGTTTCGCCTCGCTGTGAATGCTCATTTATTTGTGAAGCAATCTTGGGATGGTTTGGAAAACGCCATTAGGCGAGTCCGAGGAAGTGATCGTACCATAGCTCCTTGCTGCGCAGAACAGGAGGACAATGAAGTTGCACATAGTTCCCCTTCTTGAACTTGTAATCCCTGCCTCCCACACTGATGCTCGTGTCACTGATCACCTCCCGAGTATTGGCGATCGTCGTCTTCAAGCGCTGTGTTTCCTGCAACACCGAGACGAGAAGCGGACACGAGGTGCGAAGGACCGACACGTCGAGAGTGTAGTCACCCTCCTTCTCGCCCCTGACGACCGCCTTCTCTGCCTCATCTCTCACGGCCTCGAGAAGCCCCGGTTGAGACAGGACGTGGTAGACGGTCCAGAATGCGATCCCGGCGTAGTTGCTGATGAGGGCGACGTCGAGGCCGGTGTTCATGGAAGCCGCTTCCATTGGGGGAGCGCCATTCTCGATGAGGACGCGGGTCCTCTCCTTTATGAAGTCGGATGCGGTTTCGACACCTCCGGCGCGGAAGTAGGCACGGTACCTCGCGGAATGATCGTTGCGGGCCTTGTGCGCCTTGGGGGCAAAGAGCCAAGCCAAGCCGGATGAGATAAGGGGGATCTGGTCGTTGAATGTCCTGTGCGGGAGGTCAGCCCGGAATGTGAAGCACCGGTATGGTTGTGAGGCCTACCAGAAATCCTTCTCATGCTGGGGGTCTTTGTATGGGTTCTGAGGCCCGTAGAAGCCAGTGGTGGCTGAGACAGAAACGAGATGTTGGACCCAGTCGTACAATTCAATATGCGCCGGATCCTTCGTGGACTCCAGGACGAGCTCGTCCACCAGCCTCAGTTTCTCCTGCGCCGTGGTGATGTTGAGGCGGTCCAGCGAGGAACCATTTGAAAGAGTAGCTGCCTGGAGCTGGTGGACTTGACGGGCGAAGCTGCGCGTCTCCTCGTCTACTGACAAAGAGTCGAATGCTCTCACAGTCCTGTCCGAGACATTGGCAAGGATCTTTGCGAACTTCTTGGCAAAAGGCGCGAAGGAAACCGTCTTGGCATTGCGTTGAACGGCTGCAAAAACTTGGCGATCCGCGACAATATAGAGCTTGAACGAGAAGATGGGCAGGGAGAAGATGGCAAGATGGGGGAATCTGGCCCTGGGAGATGTCAGCTCGGGTCGGTCTCAAGTCCACTGGGGTCCACAGTGAGGGTAGGAAGTCTGGCGGTTGCATACTCCACGTCGCTGAAGTAAGGTGTTCCCTTCTTCAGGCAGTCAAGAACGTGCCCGATGAGTGGTATGCGAGGGCGGATGTAAGGCGGCTCCTGGGCATCGCGTCTTGAGAAAATGATGCCCTCGAGCAAGTAACACCCAGCCACAAGTGCCACCACAGTCCCTAGAAATGCAGACCAACTCATCTCTACTGGTGTAGAGCACAGCAGGCCAGTTCTGTCTGGTGGGACCGTATTGGACTTCAAATACTTGAAAGAGAGATTGCTCTTGGGTCCCTCAGGTAGAAGTATGTCGAGTCCAAGTCTGAAGGTTCGTGGTTCATGGTGATGCGTAACCTTAACGCCTATTTATTGGCGGTCAGCGCTTGATTCACCTTGTCGTGGAGTTGAAATGAAGCCTACTGCTACGCCTCTCGGGTCCTGTTGGGACAGGGGGGAGGGGGAGAGACAAAGAGTGTGTAACGAGGCCAGCGCCCTCTACCATGGCCGACGTGTCCCTGTAGGATCATCTCCACAGAGGGGACGTGGGCTTACCAACAGGCTCTGGCGTTACTATCACTTAGGTCAGGTGGACAGGAAAGAAGCCGATTGGGTGTAAACATGTGAAACCTAATAATAGGAAGGCATATTGGCTGGATGGTAGTATGGCAAACAATGGAGTGGACTACTCTATTGTGAAGTAGTCTGTGGTTCACAGTGAACTTTTGGTCGGCGTAAGATGTCGTAGACTTGTGCTGACTCAAGCTGCTCTCGGGGCGTTGAATTGCACTGGTTCGGTCACCAAGACTTAAACAATCGTGACATTATATCCAGGCTGGGGTCTGGTGAAGCCAATGAAACCGTGGCAAACATGATGGGACCAAACGAGCGTGTACTCTGCTGCTCGGGGCCGTTGAGTGGCCCGGCTGTCAGCGGGGCCACTCCGAGGCCTAAACGAACACCGAGACCACCCTTGTCTCACCCGGTTGTGTTCGCAGGCGGGCAGCGGGAACACTCTGCCAGGGCCTGAGGGACCAGTCCAGTGAGCTGCAGTAACCGCTTCCCCGGGTTGTCTGTGCTGCCTCCACGCATGACGCTCTCCTCTCACTCCAAGACATTCGTTCCCCTGTTGTCTCAACCTCCTCTAACCCCAAGACTCCGTCGGCCATTGGAATTCACTTTCCCTTCTGCGTCTAATCTCGGCTCTTCTCGCAAGCCTATTGATCCGTTTTCACACGGAGCGCCACCCGTTTTGACAGCACCGGCAGATAGATCATTTCCTCGTCACAAACATGTCGAACCCGAACGCCTTGTTCCTGCTCGCCGATCACATCAAGCTCTCGCTGCTCGAGCGCAAACGGGCCCAGGCGTTGAACCTGCAGAGCGACTCACAGGACGGCCACCTCTCACGATCACTGGACCAGTTCCGGGATGGGCTGGAAGCACTACAGAACGAGCAGCAGCGGCTGCAGGAGGCTGGCGATGATGCGTACGCAACCCCATCTCGAGGCCATGACATTGCCCGTTTTGACCCGAAGCTGACAACTTGTCCCTCTGCACAGCAAAGCCGCCTCCATTGCCGACTCCCTCCCAGGCCTTCGGAAGCAATTCGACGACCTGACGTCTCAGTTCCACGGCTTCTCTGCTCCGAGCACGAACTCGACCCTCACACACCCAAACGACCCGGCGCTCGCCGCCGACTTCGCCCACGCGAGCAACACCTCCACCAGCCCGCCCCTGCCCTCCTCGTCAAGCCTCCATCCGCCAGCCAAGAAGTCCCTCCGCAACGGCGGCACCTCCACCCCAACAGGCAGCAGCAAGACGGTCCGGTTCCAGGACAACGCCGCCGCCTCCTCCTCTGCGGCGGCCCTCGACGACGAGGCAGCAGCATCGGCCCGGCTCTTCAACCAACCGTACCGCGACGACCCGGACGGGCCCGAGGGCTACCGCGACACGGCGGAAGGGCTGGCGGACAACGTGCAGGTGCACGCGTACCACAGCCGGATCCTGCGCGAGCAGGACGACCAGCTCGACCGCCTGGGCGAGTCCATCAGCCGCCAGCGCGAGCTGAGCATGCAGATCGGCGACGAGCTCGACGACCAGGTCGCCCTGCTCGAGGACCAGGAGGCCCTCGTCGACCGCCACGCCTCGCGCCTCGACCGCGCCCGCCGCCAGGTCGGCAAGATCGCGCGCTCCGCTGGCGAGAGCAAGCAGATGATTGCCATCATTGTCCTCATCGTCATCCTGGTGCTGCTCATTGCGGTGCTGAAGTGAGAGCCGCGGTCTTTACTTTGTCACCCTGGTCTGATTTACTTCGGAGGATGGAGTCTAGGTAGAAGAAAGGGGCCAGAGGTTTGGCGCGGACTGAAGATGGTAGAGTAGGGGGGGGGGCGGTGGACGGAAGCCGTCACGAGATCTTCTCGTCTACCAGAGTCTTTCTCTAGCGTTTGGCTGCATTGTGTTGGTGTTGTGGCGTTTTGGAAGCACCAAACTCAGTGGTGCTCGGATATAAGGGACGGGATATTTCTTATTTTCTTTTGATTTTGATGCGTGTTGAGCTCTGCGACATCCAAGATACTCGAGAACCATCAATACAGGCCCCCACATTGGGTGGACGTCCTAACTAATCAGGCTGCATCTGTATATCGAAATACGTAGGTGACTCCTCGATGAATGATTTTGCTTGCTCAACGCCTTGAAACAATACCACCAGGACGCCAATCAGGTATAAATTTCCCAGCCTGTCAAAGCCTCCCCCCTGAATTTGCAAACAGATTACCTGAGCTTCCTAGCTACTTGCGATGATTTCTGAACCCATTACCCTTCTGTTGCGGCTGGCTCCCGTACGGCCTGCGGCCCTGCACCTTCTTGTCCTTGGGCATGCTGGCCCCGAGCCGGATGTCGACCCGCGGCGGCGTCGCGAACCCGAAGCTCTTGGCGACCTTGACCAGGTCCAGCTTGTTGACGTCGAAGACGCTGCGCAGCGAGTGGCTCGCGTAGGCGTGCAGGTAGCTGCGGTAGCCGTCCTTGGCGCTCTGGTTCAGGTAGTAGTTCTTGCCGATGAGCTTCTCGAGCTGCGACTGGATGTTGCTGATCTTGTTGGACGGGAACTCGAACTCGACCACCGGCACCCGCGCCGCCTTGAGGTGCGACAGGAACCCGACCTCGCTGGGCTGCAGGAACATGAGGGAGCGGCCCTTCGCGTTGGACCCTCGCGCCGTCCGTCCCACGCGGTGGATGTAGTCGCGGGGGTCATCTGGAGGGTCGAACTGCACGATCCAGTCTACTGCCGGGATCTGGGCGGCGTTGTCAGTGCATGAAACGAGAGATCAAGCTGGGTCGGACACTTACATCGAGACCACGGGCAGCAACATCCGTGCAGATCAGGGTGCCCTGCGCAGCATTGCAGAATTCGAAGAAGGTGTTGGTGCGGGCTTGCTGTTTCATCTTGCCGTGCAGGTGGAGGACGGGCAGGTCGATGAAGTTCAGGAGCTCGGCGAAGTATTTGACTGAGTTGCAGCTGGAGAAGAAAACAATGATCTTCTTCTTGGCCATCTTCTTGAGGAAACTGAACAGGAGCAGGAACCGCTTGTCGGCATCCACGATGCAGTAGCCCTGCTCCACGCCCTCCACGGTCGAAAACTCCTTCTCCTCGTCCACGTTGATGTACAGAGGCCCCGGCCGTAGCGATATCCTTGCCAGGTCCTCGACCTTTGTGGTTTGCGTCGCGGAGAAGAGCATCGTCTGTCTGTCCTCCTTGGGCAGGATCTTGATGATCTGCCTCATCTCGTCCTCGAAACCAATCTCAAGGATCCGGTCTGCCTCGTCGATGATCAGCGACCGCAGGTTCTTGAACACGAACGGCGTGTTTTGCAGGTGGTCCAGCAGCCGCCCGGGCGTTGCGATGATGAGATTGACTCCCTTGCCCAGCTTGTCGGCCTCGGCCCGCCTGTTCGCGCCGCCGATGACGATGCCGTACGTCTGGCTGTGGTGCTTCAGCAGGTCCCGCGCGACGGAGAAGATCTGCAGTGCCAGCTCTCGGGTTGGGGACACGACGATGACGCCGGTGCCGTTGCGTGGTTTGAACTTGAGCGCGCTCAGCATCTCGATGGCTGGGATCAGGAAGGCGAGCGTCTTGCCGCTGCCCGTCTTGGCCGCGCCGAGCACATCCTTGCCCGCCAGCAGCGGTGGCACGGCTCGCTTCTGGATGTCGGTCATCTTCGTGAAGCCCATCTCGTCTATAGCCTTGATCGTCTTCTCGGAGAGGTTCAGCTGCTGGAATTCCTGGACTTCGGTACCGGCCTCCTGTGGGAGCGAGAGGTTATTTGGCGATGGGAGTTCGGCGCCGTCAGCTTCCTCCTCTTGTGGCTCTTCGGTCTGTGGTGGGTTGTCGTTTTCGCTCGCGCTGGCTTCCTCATCCTGATCGGCCTCGACGGGTGATGCTTCCTCCTCCTCGACCTCCTCGACCTCGGATTCTGGCTCCTTCACCTTGCTCTTCCTGGCCTTCTTGGCCTTCCGCTCAACGGATACAGGCTTGGCCGCACTGCCATCCTTCAGCTTTCTCTTCTTTGTCGTTTCTGACGCCATGTTGGGGATGTATGGGATTTCGTGTATGCAGCAGGTGTGTATCGAAAATTGACGAAATCCGGGTTGCACGGCGCTTCGTGGAAAACTGAAGAGAGGATGATCGAGGTTGTGGTTGCATGCGACTTTCGAGGGCTGGAACTTTTTTTTCTGCCGCCGTTCCCACTTTGATAAGCAGGCGATAAAAAGATTGTGGGGCCAGCGACCTTGATGGCCAAGGGTCTCAGGACTGAATGGCCGACCACCCCCCTCCCCCCGGCCTCTTTACCCCAAGCAAACCGGGCCAAACCCTCGAGGCCTAAACTCGCCGTCAGTCGTGCTCTTCGGATACTGCTTACACAGGAATCGCTCGAATCATCATGTCTACATTTGCGAACTTACCAATCAGCAGTCGGATCGATTAGCAGCAAATTTGATTCTACTGCGACTCAACAATTGCCTCACGCTGTCAAAAGAATTCAGTTCTGTGATCCAGACAGGCACCGTTAAAATTAGGGTTCCGCTAGGAAGGTCTTGCGCTTAGTACGCAGAGCCATCTCAGTTGAGTTACAAGATCGTGCAGCCATATGTATGATGCTATCACTGCTCCTGGTCGCTGATCGTGTCCAGCGCCGGTCCACTATATGTGTTAGGCCCCAAACCCGATCCTATGTCAAACAGGTTCTATGAAAAGCCCCCGCGCCTATCCATTTTGGTAATGATGTATACTTCCAGCCGGCCGGCCTAATAAGAGACTCCTTTCCATAATTGATGATGCAAAAGAAAGAGATGCAAAAGCCAATGACCCCAGATGCCAGAGAAAGAAAACGGGCATCCCCTGTGTACCAGTTTTAATGCATGGCGGACGGAACCGGTTCCTCATGCTTGGCCGTGCTGCCCTTCCCTCTCCACGTGCTGACCGCAGCGATCTTCGCATCCCACCTCTGCTCGTCCGTCCCGTACGCGCGGGGCGTGAGTTTGATGAGCGTGTGTAACGGCACGTGCATCCACGGGCTCTTCTCCTGGTCCCTCTTCATAAAATAGGCGTATATACAGCGGAGCACTGCCTGGTGCGTAACGATCAGGATATCCTCGGACCGCTCCAGCTCCATGATGATGGGCTCCAGCCGGATGACCACATCGCGATATGACTCGCCGCCCCGGTACCGATAGTTGTACTTATCCTCGTCGCGCGCCTCGAAGTCTTCAGGGTACTGGTCCTTGATCTCCTGGTACGTCATGCCGTCGCATACACCCGCGTCCAGCTCGTCCAGTGCCTTCCATTGGAGCTGGTTATAGTGCTTAGGCAGATGGCGCGCTGTTGCGATCGTCCGTCTTAGTGTGGATGTCCAGACTGTGAGTGGACGGTCGTCCTAGTGAGGGGGTCAGCGGAACCTCGTGAGGCCGTGTAGGGATTGGTCTTCACGTACACCCACTGATGCGCGAACCAGCTCGGGAAGCTTGCGCGCATACTGTTCCCCGCGTGGAGAGAGTAGTGCGTCTCCTCCAATTCTCCCGTCAAGATTGTATTCGGACTCGCCGTGCTAAAGCAGTGTCAGCCATGCCAAGACGAGCCCCTCAGCTGAACAACTAGTAGACATACTCGTGATAGCCAGACCGACCTCGGTCGAATGTGCAGGTTCATGAGGTAGTAGACAACTCGACTCTGCAAGTAGTCCTGGATCCGGTTGATAATGACCTGCTTGCCAACGTCCAGAATTTTCAGGTAGGTGAGGTGGTCCTCGTCCTCATCCTCGTTGATTGATTTGTAGACCTTCTCGTAGTTTCGAATGCGACTCCGGAAGTCGATGGCGGCTTGCTCTGGATCTTGGCCTTTGTAGTCGGGGCTAGTTGTCTTGACATCTCTTATGTTTGCCATGATCAAATCCTCGTCGTCGCACTTGGACTCGACGTATATGACCTCGATCCCAGCGTTAGTGCAGATCTCCAGTATCCACTTGCGGCGCTCCTTCGTGGAGTTGGTGGCGTCCAGTATGGCAACGGTTCCTTTCTCGTCACGGAACCATTTCAACATGTCTGCGACGGCAGCCTCAGCGGCGGCTTTCCTCTGGCGTTCGCCCTCGGAATTTCCGATGTCGAAGAAGTCGGCCGTGGGTTGTGCTGCAGCCTTGCGGCGGTAGTTGCCGACGTTGAAGGTCTGTGACGGTACTGACAGCCATTGGAGGTACCTCTGGGCTGCAAATGCAACTGGCGTTAGATTACTGCTCTCACAAGACTCTGAAGGGGCGTTCGGGGAGGTGGGAAGTGGTGCACCTAAAGTTGACGAAAGACATATTGTGTCAATGGTTGAAACTGCAGTCGTGAATGGTGGAGGGGTTGGGAGGGAGAGATCCGGGACGGGAGGAAGCAGAGAGTGTATGTACCCTTTTGTGCGATGTAGCTCTTGCCGCGGGCCGGCAAGCCAACCATCACCACGCAGATGCGCGTGTCCTCCACCTGAACGCCTCTTCCGTTAGCTTTGGCAGGAGCCATGTTTGGCCGTGAATATGAGCAGTAATTCGTGATGTTGTTTGCCGTAAGAGCATGGAGTTCTGCCAGAAAGTCGAAGGAAGGTAATTGAGGATCTGGACCGGGAAGAACTCGGGATTCTTAGGAAAGAAGTGATCGCGTGAGGGTTGAAGTCGGCTACGCTTAGGGCAAGTTGGAGTAAAGCAGAGACCAAGGCCGTAGATGATGCAGGCGGGCAGAAAGGTGTGGTGGGGGGAGCCTCTTGGCCTCCAGATGTCGTCTGCAGGGGTGGAGTGATGATTTGGTAACTCTGGGGTAAACTTTGACAGGTCGCACGAGCGTTGCTTGATTCGAGGGCGGTCGAAGGGAATGTGCGCAAGGCAGCCTTTGAAGGGCGGGCGGATGAAGAGAGAGAGGATGGATGCTCTGTCTGGGCTTCCGTAGGACGAGTCGTGGTGACGAAACGTCAAAAGAGCGAGATGGGGGAGCTAGGACGAGAAGGTATATAGCATGTGGTGGAGGAAGCAAGCAAACAAAGAAGAGGCTTGTGAACATGGAAGCGAAGCTTGTGATTGTGGTAATGAACGGGTGGGTAACGGCCGTGGGAAGGCTCTCCTGAATCCTCTTAGTCTGCTGCTGCTGCGGATAGAGAAGGCAAGAAGCAGCCCAGGATGGAGCTTCACATCACCAGGTACCTTGGAAGTAGACAGGCGGGCAGTCCCACCTTGACGCAAGGTGAAGCCGATGCATCTTCTTCCGGATGGCCAAGTGGGTTGCAGTCGGGATTCTCAGGGCCAGCAAGGCCAGGCAGGGCCAGCACTGGCCGAGGCTCCTGCACCCATCCACAACCCCCCAGCGGGCTGGGCTCCTGCGCTGTACCGTGCCCGCGCGCAGGAGACGACCCCTGATCCCATCCTCCACAAGCCGGCTCACCCCGCAAAAAAGGCACTTGCTATCCGCGCCCAGGATGGAGAACTTCCGCCCAGCCGCAGTTCCTTGGCCCCTTCTGGAATTTCTTTGAGCCCGCCCCTCCAGGCGCCCCTCCATGCCTGACTCTTGCCGGGGCCAGGGGTTGCCCATGCCTGCAGGCCCGTCCACTCCTCGCTCATTCTTCTCCCGACAGCTCGGACACTCCGACCCAGCGAGACGGACGAAGCTTCTCTGTCGAGCTAAACCTTCGCTGCGTCATCGAGGCAGATTGGCAGAGGGTGAGGGAGAAAGAAAAGGCGACCATCGGGACGAATATAGCAGCGCGTGTCTCGCGTGTCCAAACAGCTGGGTAGCACAGGCACAGGCGCAGGCGCAGGGACAGGGACAAGGCCGACCCGACCGAAACTGCAGGCCGGGGCCCCGTACCTGCGCGGTACATGGCATCATGCAGCATGAGAGATCCTTCAGGCCGCTCCCACATGGCCAGCGCCGGCGTGCGTCGCGTAGAGCAAACCCAGGCACACCCCGAGTCCCCCCGGTCTCAACTCCGGAGCCACATGCCACTCCACGCCAGCGACTGATCAGCAGGCCCTTATAATCGTATGTTTTCTCCTCATTCCTCACTCGAGACCTTTCCTCTTTTCTCCCAGAATGCTCGCGCCCTCGCTCTTCCCCAGACTAAGGAGCCGACTCGACTAAGCCTCCCCGCATCACCGGGTGGCCTGAGGTTCCCCATCCCCCGCCAAAAGGTTTTGCCCATCCCCCCTTCATTGCCCCATACTGTGCTGTCCCGCGCTTTCATCTGACTGACTTCACGTTGCAGGCCACTGGGCTTTTTTCAGCAGCAGACGTCACGACGGACAGGCTCACCCCAAGCCAGCGGCCTCACCGGAGGAAGGATCACGCGCACAGATCAAGATATGACGCTTGCTCATCCAATCTGTTGCAGAGCCCAGGGCCAATTTTCGTGTCTGCAACAGCCACTCTGACCTCGCTCGTTGTCCGTCGAGGGACGGAGGAAACGATCACGAGCACTGTCTCAGCGACGTGCATTCATCCCGGGTGAGGCTGCCAATGCACCGGCTGACGGAACTCGGCCAGAGAGCAGAGCCTCGAATCTGGCCCTGGACGTTGGGATCGGGTCTTTTGCATCGCGTCGTGTCGCCAGGGACGCCAAAACCTGGGTGACTGGCGCCCGTGTCTGACCCCGGGAGGCAATACGAAGTCATTCTGCCATAATCTGAGATCTACCCACTGGGTCCCGGACCCCTGAATGCGGCTCCTCACCGCTAGGTGGACTCCCGACTTGCCACCCCTATGCAATGACGACACGAGGATAAAACTCGGAAAAGAACGGGGCCCAAGTGCCGAGCGACTTTGCAGCAGCTATGTGGAAACGCTCTCATGAGGAAAGGCTGCGATGGCCTGTCTCTGCAATGCAAGAAGTGCCCAAGAGGTGCGGCGCGGTGCAGCTCAGTGCATTGCCCCGGTCAGGCTGAAGAATGTGACGAGACCAGAGAGAAAGAAAGCTCTTTCACACACCTTGCCAAAAGACCAAGTGTTGGCTCTCGCTCGACCCCTCGGTGGCGTTGGCGGTCCTGGCGAGATGTGCCTCATCGTGAGCGCTTCGTTACGTTCGTTGTGAGGATCGCTGGCAAGTGTCAGCAGAATGCGGCGAGTGAGACAGAAGCTGGACTCGGCGGCGGGGCTCTTCTTGCTCCACAGAGCAGGCTGTCAGGCCAGGACTGACCTTCGATATAAGAGGGTGCTATGCTACTAGCCCGATGCTTGAAAAGAAGTTAGAAGGAGTCGGGTTCGGAGCGGGAAACAAGATTGCTCTCGACAGGTCCGAAACAGCAGGGAAGCAAGGGCGGGTGGCCAGGCGGTGTCGGCGGAGCCTTGATTGCGCGAGGTTGCTTGGATCAAAGATTTCCAAGGTGGCAATGCCGAGTGGCGACGGGCTGCAAACTGGCCCTGCCCTACCTAGGTACCATGCCTCCGGCCCTGGGTTGCAGCCCAGCACTTAATAATAAGCTGCCGCGAGATCTGATCTCATCCTGGGCTGCGCTGATTCAGATTCTGGCCGGTTTTGGGCCGCAGGCTGATGCGACTCCAGGGACAGGGCGCTAGTGAAAGGTCGAGATAAGCTCAAGTCACGATAAGCTCAGCGTACAGACATCGAACCCCTGGACGTGCATACTCAGACTCCCGACAAAGAGACAGGCGAAAATATTAGCACGGCTGAAATGCATGTCGATTGGATTTGAGCAGTCTTACCTGTCAGCACGATATCGAATACCGAACCAGAAGCAGCGAATGACTCAAATGTTCGCGTACCATGGCTTCTCCATTTATCTGTCACGCCCCAGTTAAAGTTCGATTGAGGCCTGCGAGAACACTGCATTCGAAATGCCTTGGAAAGGTGATATGTGCGTTGGTGACACCCGAAAATGCGTGCCACCTGAGAGCCTTGACATCGGCCACCACCTGCTTACCTGGCCCCGCGCATGACTACCTAGTAGAGCCAGCTTCGCACCATATGGCAGAAGCCATCGTAGCCCTCGGCCTCGCTGCCAACATCTTGCAAATGGTTGAGTATGGCAGTGTATTTGTCGCGACCGCTTGGAAAATATACGCGTCGCAGGCAGACACCCTCCTCGCGAAGGACCTTGACCAGCTGCGATACCAAACTGAGGAAGTCGAGAAATTACTTGGGTCTCTCGAGCAGAATGACTCAATTATTCCATCAAGTGCAGCCTTGGAGTGTTCTGACAAGTCTTCACGAATCACAGATGCTGTAATCAGTTCTTCGTGTTAGTGAACCCTAGTAGGAACAGACTGGCAAGAGGGCTTGACAGTTACGAAAGAGCTCATGAAAGAAGGGAATACCTCTTTGCATCACTCGTCATTCAACATCACGTCGTGTAATATAAAGATATTTTATTATTAATATAGCCTTATTTAAGTAATTAAAACCTTTTAAATCTTATAAAATATAATAAAAAGTTAATTAAAATAATATAATAAGCTTTAAAATAAACTAAATATAATATTTATTATTTAATAATTTTATATATTAATTTAAGCTTTATTAATAAATTTTTAACTTATTATAACTTATTATAAAAACTAAAAAATAAATTATTTTATTTAAATAATATATATATTTTTATTATTGTATTTATATTTAAATTTTACATATAATTATAACGTTATTATTAATATTATAATATATATATTTAATAATATTTAATTATAAAAATAATTATATTAATATTAATATAACTTAAAATACCTTTTTTAATTTTAATTTAAATACTTATTTTTTATATTTTACCTTAATTATTTATTATAAGTAAGCTATAAAATTATTAAAATGTTTAAAAATAAAAATGAAAATAAAATTAAAAAAGTTTATATTAATGCCTTTAATATAAACTTTTTAAGTAATATTAAATTTAAGTGAATTAAGATAAATACTTTGTTTATATAATATATAGGTATAAGATTAACTAAGGGAGTATGTTAGTTTTAATCATAATTTACCTAGCCAAGAAGAAGCTCTTGCCAATGAAGAACTGTGTGAAATGGAGGTCTTTTGAATACAGCGTAATAAGGCAGCCGAAGCCCATCGATAAGGCCAGGCACATTTGGCCTACCCAGAGGGCTATAAAGGTTGTAAAAGGCTATAGAGGGCGCGCAGAGGGCACAGAGGGCACAGAGGGCACAGAGGGCACAGAGGGCACAGAGGGCACAGAGGGCACAGAGGGCACAGAGGGCACAGAGGGCACAGAGACAAAGTAAAGATGAAGTACATAGGTCTTGGCAGATAGTGGGGTAATTTCAGCTTTGCTTAGTTAGGATTTGAGGTGTATATTATTCTTGGTGGCGCGTGTAGCAATTTTTTGTACTGAGTCGGGGGACAGAAGAACTCTGCAGAGTGGGCAGTCAATGAATGTACTATGAATGGCGACAGTCACTGTGCCACATGCTGTCTGCCAGCCAGCGTAGCGTACGTGCAGCCCCTCCGCCCTCACATCCCCCCGGTCTCTATAGTGTGGACTATAAAGGTGAATTAGTATAAAGTTCTAGAATTTGAAGATTATGATTAGAACCGGAAGAAGCAGTAATCGCGTTCTGTATATTGTCTCGTGGGCAAAAATGTTAATAGTACGCGAAACTCAGGAACAGCCAAGTGAATGATTGCCCAGCGCTAACTTATAACTCAGCGGTTGATAAGCATCATAGCGCTCGAAATTTCACACGGAAGAGTCACACTACTTTATGTAAATCCTACTCAATCAGCGTCTGCCCACTGCTATTTCACTATGCTTGGAGACGTTGACTCTATACGCTTGCTTAGGCAATGAGAGCCATACGCCTTTGCCGCGAGAGAACCTTGCCAAAGGTTCTTGCGCATCAGCTATCATACTCTAAACTCATCCAGCGAATTCTGGCCCGGGAACTTGCCAGCCAGGTCTCAACTTCAACCAATCCTGGAGACTTTACTAGTACCATCAATTGATATTTGTGTTGAGTCTAGGACCGGCGCATTCTGAAGTGACCAGTCTCGCCAATCTGAATTTCCACTTCAACCTAATTTGAGCATGCCAGTGCGCTAGCAAACGACAGTCTCGATTCCAGGCCTTGCTATTGAGACCTTCCGATTCGCCGCAGGGAGGACAAGAGAGAATTTGCAGAGGCACAAATGCCCGACATATTTCCGTATGTGGACAATAGTTACACTGTCAATGTTATTCTTTTCCACAAGCAGGGACAAGCTTCTAGCCGTCCTGCGCAAACTCCTCATACATCAAATCAGAGACCTTGACTGCAAGATCCCACAGCGTCGGAGTGTGGATAAGCTCGAACAGCGGGAAATCCACAGAGAAGTATTGTGCAATCCAGCCAGTCAGCTCAATGGCGTTCAACGAGTCCAGGCCGAGATCATCTAGGTAATCCGTGGGGAGGATCTCCCCACCTGGCTGCGCGAGCAAGTCCATCATCGCATTTCCCAGATGCTTGACAATGAGCTCAATGGTCGAGTCCTCTCCTTCAACTGACTCGGTGCGGCTCGAGCAATCATAACAACAGCTCCCACACCGTCTTCTTCGGGGGCGCCTTCAGCCGTTCTACGTTGACTGTCGAAGCTGTAAGCCAAGCTCATGCGTGCATCCCGCTTCCATAGGACATGAGTTGAGGGATCAGCCAAAGGTCGCTGTGACCACAGACCAAGCACCATTTGGCTCATGCCTGAACCTGCTTCCTGCGGGGGCTGAGAGTGGATGATGCTAGCGGTGAGACTGTCCAAGAGGTCTTGCTCGCTGAGCACGTAGTATCCGGCGGCCTTGGCTCTGAGCTCCATGTTGTCCGTCTGAGCAACAACACCAACGCCTCCCATCACACCAATGTCAATGACCGACGCAGATAGCCCGAGGTGATGCCGATAGCGAACGAAGGAGTCGAGGTAGACGTTGGCGGCATTGTAGTTGGCCTGTCCGATTTGTCCTGTGACTCCACTCATGGAGGAGAACAGGAGGAAAAAGTCAAGATCTTCGTGAAGCAGCGCCTTGTGAAGATTGATCGTTCCTTCAACCTTGGGATCAACGCATTCTCTCCATTGTGTGTAGGACATCCGCGAAATGGCATCGTCCTGCGAGCCGTTAGTCGCTACCCAAGTGAGATGCTGGAGGCTCAAACACAGAGGATAGACCTACCCGTAAAACCATGGACATTTGGATGACACCAGCAATTGGGGCATCTGCCGCCTTGACCGCCCGCGACACGTCATCAGAATTTGCAACACTGCCTGCCACGGTCTTGACCATGCAGCCTTGGCTTCGCAGCTCGTTAAGGAAGGCGGAGGTCTGGGGCCCCTCTTTAGCGGAGCGTGAAAGGAAGACCAGCTTCCTTGCACCATTCTCAACCATCCACGTTGACACGACTCGACCAAGTCCGCCTAGTCCTCCTATCAAGAGATAAAAGGTATCTGGACGGAAGCGGAGCGCTGTTGCTGTGGGGGACATTTGAAAGCCGTCACGTTGGTCTTGTGCAGGGACTCTGATAGTTATCTTGTTTTTGGCGGCAATCTCTTGACTGGCTGCCCGAAAAGCTTCGCGGCACTGGTCGGCATCGAAAGTCGTGATGAGACCTTGCATGTAGTTGAAAACATCTGTATTGCATCCTTGCAATGCCCTTGTACCAGATGTTAGCCCAAGAACGCGATATTCACGAGGCCGTTAAGAACGAGTGATTTACCTTCCGATTAATTCAGGCTCATTGAGGCTCAGGTGCCTGATATTGATGATGCGGTACGCTTGGCTGGCGCGAAGCCTTGGTGGCGCGATGTCCTGGGCATCAATATCCGAGATGTGAAGGAATGTGCCCGCGGCAGAGAGGTACTGTAGGTAACCGTTTGCCGTATTGGTCGGACCTATCACGAAGTCGAATCTTAGGCTCTCCAGAGCATCTTGGACTTGGCGGGTGTAGAGTTCGCTCTGGGTGCAGAAGATGCGGCCTGCCGGCAGATTGAAGCGGTTTTCCAGCAGTGTTCTGTCGCCATCCGACTGGATGGTGGTGTAGACCTGAGACTTGTTTAACCTGAATGCTCTTACAGGATGGCTCATGTCAATCGAGATGATTGCGGGCAAATTTCTCACCTTTGCTCTGGCTGCCTGCAATAGTTGCAGCAGAGCAAGACACAAATGATTTTGAACAAAAGGCAACAAAACGATCTTCACATCCGGGGTTAGTAATTGGAGACTTTGAAGAGTTTAAAAGGGCAGACTTACCGCTCCCTCGTGGATCCTTCCGAAGTCCACTACTGTCAAATATGCGGTCGTGTATGCAAGTGGAATAGAGGCCGCAAGCTCAAATGGGATGCTGTTGTCCAATCGAAGGCAAAATTCTGGTGAGATGTTCAAATGACTTGCCAAAGCACCTTCGGAAAAGAACATCACCTTGTCTCCGACCTTGAAACCCTGAACGTCGGCGCCAACTTGTATGACGACACCCGCGCCCTCCTGTCCGAGGACCAGTGCGCTTGGGTCAACAACAGACTTGACAGCGTTCACATCCTATCGAGATGATTAAAAATATAGTCGGGAAAGATGATTCTGGTTACTCCACTTACCTCTATGTGGATAGCTGCAGCTTTGACTTCGACTCGAATTTGACCGGGGTGGAGACTTTCCAAGGGATAGTTGACCCAGTTCAATGAGTCCATATGACGGGGCTTCTTGGGAATGAGCTTCGTAAAAGACCCCGTCACTCGACGTGCCAAGCATCGGGAGAGCTCTTGTTGTGGCGTCGTCCACTGGAATCTGGGTACCTTTATGCCATCTTTAGTTATGGCCAGCTCATAGTCTGGGTTATATGCGTCGTAGAAGTGCCGGTGGGGAAGATTCTCAACGATACGGATGAGAGACCTGCTTAACTGGGCAGGATGAACAGCCTCTACATCCGCCTCAACAACAGTAATGTCCGCCTTGGTCTCTGACCGCAACGTTCGAGCAAGTCCGAGTATCATGGACGGGCGTGGGTCCCCGCATGCTATTTGAGACGGTGTAGTAACCCAAACAATAGGCCGCTTGTGCTCTGACAACAACTCAATGAAAGGTCTGAACTCGGCCTCTGTCAAATTGTAAACATGAGGGGCCGCCAAATCAAGGAAGAAGGCCAAGATGTCTTCTGCCGGAATCTTCTCATCGATGGAGCATGTGCGGGCCTTGATGTTGCGCGATTTGAGGTCAGACTTGAACTGGTCAACCAATGAGCTCTCCATCGTCGGTACAATGATAGAGACGCTTTGAGAAGCTGTAGATCCTGAAAGCTTCAACATTGGGGACGTTGAGAGCTCGCCAATGGTTGCCGAAGTCATCTCAAAACCGGCATCCCGTATTGCTGGTAGAAGGCGGTGTGATTGGTCATCTATCAGGCAATGTCAGTGTCGTCATCTTATTGAGGTAATTTAAATCAAGCAAGTTTACCATGAAGAAGCTCAAGCAGAATCACCAACGCGTTTGGGCGAAGAAGCTCCTTGATATGACGAAGCTCATCCTGAGCGTCATCAGACAACAGAAGAGCCTACTAAAATTAGTCATTTGATCGCACTCAGGCGAGGTCTGATTTACTTACATCGGTGCTGATGATAACGTCGTATGAGCTTGACTCCATTTGCAGAGAATGCTCACCGCTTTCGAGAGTTCCGATTTCCAGTCCATCAACACCTTCAAGAGCTTTCGTGGCTCTCTCGAAAGCAGGCAAGGACTTTGCGGCGTACGTGTATTTCGAAAACAGTTGGCGTCCTTTGCCCGGTCGCAGATTCTCCATGAGTACACGTGTCGTTGTGTCGGCGCCAGTTCCAATTTCCAGGATTCTCAGCTGCGGGTTGGTGTGGCTGAGCACCCTGAATGCATCCACTAAAACCTTGCTCCTCCTTGTGGGTAAAGAGTCTTCTGAGTGAGGAAGGGCATGCACCTCCTGAAAGGGGTAAAAGCTTGAATGGTGATCCCAGTGAACATTGCTGAAAAGTGGCAGGTCGTCAGTGGCGGCCTGTGTGGCTATCTGGCTTCCTTGAACACCACTCATACTCATGATTTCCTGACCGTCATCGGTGTATGCGAGCAACGATCCTGAGAGCTCACCAAGACCAGACGAGGTTGACGTTGCTGTAGTCCAGAATGGTCCGTTGCTTCGGGAAATGAAGATATCCTGAACTGAGCTGGGCATGGAGACGTACTTCGCCTTCCGATGCTGCCCATGGCATCCAGCTGTGACAAGGGTTTGGAAGCATTGGTCGAGCGCGGTTGGGTGAATAAGGTAGCCTGCCAGGTCATCCATCTGATGGACCTTGGCTGTTGCCTCTCGCGAATAAGGGCTGACACTGATGTTGTCCAGTCCCCTAAATGCAGGTCCGTAGTAGAAACCACGGTCCTGGACAGTATTGTACCAGTACTTTTGGGACAGGATACGTGGGAACTCTCTCTTCTGGATTCCAAGTCGTGGTCGATGAGGGAACGGACCCGCGCTGACCACAGCACGACAGTGCTGGGTCCAGACGTCGTTCTTCCAGGATGTGATCTGGACTTCGCAAGAGGATGCATCTGCAAGTTGCCTCAGCCTGGTGTGGATCTCCACAGGATTGCCGGGTTCTAGCTGCAACGCTGCAGAGACAGCAAAGTTTTTGGCGGAAAAGGACTCCATTACGCCTCCGGTATACTGACGGAGCGCCTCTTCGGCGATAGACAGGTAACCCGCAAAAGGGAAGATGATTTGGCCGTTGATCATGTGGTCCGCAACCCAAGGGAGGTCTTCAACCTGGAGAACCTTGCGCCAAGTGGGCTCCAAAGCACTGGTCTCAAAGTTTTGACGGCCAAGAAGATCGTGCATAGGATATCGGCAGTCCCTATAAGCTTTGAAGATGCGGTGTTCTTCTTGAAAGACGTCCTCGTGAGCCCAGGGGTATGTCGGGACATTAATTAGAGTCCTACCCGGAGGTGTCACGACTTGGCGATCAAAGGAAACGTTCTCGCAGAAGAGTCTCCCGGCAGCCTTCAGCATTGACTCGTTGCAATCGCCACCTTGCTCAAGTGTCGGAACATGGCAGGCGTTGATGTTGGGCAAGTCGTCTAGGATCTGCTTGATCGGGCCTTTCAGAGCCGGACGCGCCCCAATCTCAATGATCACCGGATTTGTGGGTTGGCCATATGTCTGCAGCAGATGTCTTAGAGCTCCGTTAAATCGGACTGGCTGGACAAGACTCTTGTGCCAGTATTCGGAACCCAGTGAGCCGGCATCCGTGATACGATCCTCCGTAACGCTTGAGAAAAACAGTACTTGAGGTGCGTCCGCTTTTACGAAGGGGCGAATGGCATCCTCATAAGCTGGTCCGTAGACATCCATATGTGCTGCGCTGCAATTAGTGATAGTACATCAATACTTGGGCACAGGAGGATGGCTCACGGGAGTGATAGGCGCGATCAACCGTTAGAAGGCGAGCAAAGTGACCATCTGCCTTGACTTTCTGCATGACGCTCTCAACCGCATCGGCGTCACCAGAAATTGTCGTACTCGATTGGCTGTTCTCGCAAGCTGCAATAACTCCCGTGATAAGGTACTTCGTAACATCTTGGGGGCCGAGTCCAATCGCTGCCATGGTGCCCTTGCGCTCCGCTCCCATAGATCTTGGGATTTTGCCTCGAAAATATGCAGCAATTATGGCTGCTTCAGCACTCAGAGCACCGGCTGCGAAGGCGCCTGCGATCTCTCCGCTCGAGTGACCAGACACGGCATCTGGGAGAATCGACCAGCTGCGGAGAACCTCGGTGATGCCAATCTGAACAGCAGTACTGCACGGGACTGAAAACTCGGAGTCCATGATGCGGCTTTCATTGCCTTCCTTGGACATCTCGTCTAACAGAATTCACGTTAACATGAAGACAATACTGGACTCGGGTTCAAAGCCGCTCTCACCTTCGATTGTCCACGATGGTGGCCCAGGCAGGCGACTGAGCGCCCTGTCCAGCCTGCGTATGGACTCCAGGAAAGTCGGGTTCGCCTGAAGCAAAGCCTTTCCCATAGTTGGCCACTGAGCTCCCTGACCGTTGAAAACGAACACTGTCTTTCTTGGCTTTAGGTTTGCAGCCAGGCCGCGATTTTCCGGTTCCGAGACTTGCGTTCCGTTATGGGCGATCATGAAAGATCGGTAGCTGAGCTGGGATCGTCTGCATCCGAGGGTGTATGCCAGATCGACCAAATTGGGCTTTTTTTCGGCAATGTGCTGTTTGTATGCATCCTGTAACAGCTCCAGAGATTTGGTGTTGGAGGCAGAGAACAGCAACAGATGAGGACCTTCTGGAGAGGAAGGGGAACCTAGCCCTGAATCGGGATTGCCTTCATAGGCTTCGAGAATGGCCTGGATCAATTAGCTGTGGCTCCTCAGCTCTGCGGAGTTGAACTCACGTGTGCATTGGTGCCACCAATCCCAAAAGCATTGACGCTCACTCTTTTACGACGATGTGAAGGGAAGGGTTGAGCCTCGGTGGGAACACTGATTCTTCCCTCGGCCCATGGAACTGTTAAGACATTCGGCGTTAGTCTAGTCCTCTACGAGGCGTTTCTGGCAGTCCTCACTGTTGGGGTTTGGTGTCTCGAAGTTGATGTTGGGGGCAATGATTCCATGTTCAAGCATGAGTACCACTTTGATGACGCTAGTAAGAGCAGCGGCACCCTCAGAATGTCCGGTATTTGGCTTGACCTGCGGCAAATCTTATTAGCATGTATATCACCTCAAATATGGTGTTTCGAAAAGTCACTCACACCTCCAATCAAGATGCCTTTCTTGCCGAAAATTCTCTCCACAGCAGAAACCTCGGTGGGATCTCCCATCGGAGTCCCTGTCCCGTGACACTCAAAGAACGAAGTCGCAGAATAATCCGTGATGTTGGCGAGTTTGTATGTGTGCCGAATCAGCGCTTCCTGCGCATACGTATTTGGGTTAAGGAGTCCCGGTTTCTTCCCGTCATGCTGGGTAGCAGTAGAGCGGATGATTGCACGGATAGGGTTTCCGTCTCGAAGGGCATGTGAAAGTCTCTTGATGTAGACCGCATTAATTGCCTCACCGCGTCCATACCCATTGCAGTCGGCATCAAAAGTCTTGCAGATGCCCTCTGGGGACAGAACGTTTCCCAAAGTCCCATACGAGGCTTTGGTGGCAGACGCAGCCGACAAGAAAATGTTGCATCCGGCAATGATGGCTGAACTACATTCGCCGCTTTTGACGGCTTGCTCCGCCAGGTTCAAGGCCACTAAAGTTGCCGAACAGCCAGTTTTGATAGTCATACTGTACCATCCATTAGATCTTTACTCTTGTCGACCTCGAGGGCTTGCTCACCTGGGGCCATGAAAGTCGTAGGCATAGGAAATCCTGTTTGCCAACATGATGTCCCATTTGCCAGCAGGGTAGGTGCTGAAGTTCTGAGTGTCACGATCTATCTCCGCACTCCAGTCTTCCATGAATGATCCCACATAGCAGCCGACGGTCTTGCCTTGCCAGTCAGTTTCCCCCGCGTTCTCAAGGCACTCCCAGGTTATCTCCAGTAGCAATCGTTGGACGGGATCCATTTGCTCGACTTCCTTATGACTGAAAGGGAAATGAGCCGTGTCAAAACGGTCTATGTCAACATGATCCATGAAGTACGCCTGCTTCAATTGGAACGTTCCTGGTCGCTTCTGCTCGCTGTAGTAGCCTTCGGCATTGAACCTGCTCCTAGGTACTGGGACAGATCCGCAGCGCTTCTCCATGAGGAGATCCCAGAACTGCTGACAGTTGCTCACAACTCCGGGAAGTCTCATCGCCATGCCACAGACGACGACGGGGTCGTGTTCGAACGCTTCGGGGCCGGCCCCAGAGCCATCTGAATCAACGTTGTTCATACTGGCGAAGAGTGAGCAAGTGAGGCAACCAAAGGCTACAGATGTGTCAGTCAAAGCTGAACAATGAAATCTTGTCAAAAGTGAGGAAATAAGCTGTAACTTCCAAGAAACAGAGACCTGGAAGCCTTGACACAAATTCACATATACACGAAAGCAACGAGGTCATCTCTCCTGAGTAAGTCATTCCAAGGTTATATATATATTATATAAATTTACATATTTATAACTTTATTTAAATATTAAGTTATATTATTAATAAATAGCATTTTTATATTATATATTTATAAATAATGTATTAAAGCTTTATTTTTAAAAGCTTTTTAAGCAATAATTAAATAATTAAATAAACAAGGCTTTTTTATAATTAATAATAAGCATTAATCTTATAATTAATAATAAACATAAAGTAAAAAATATTATTATTAAGGTAAATCTTACAATAATTAATTATAAAATATAAAGAAAGAAAAAAATAAATCTTATATTATATTATAAATTAATAATTAGCTTTTAAATTATTTATTTATAAATAATAATATTTAAATATTATTATTACTTAATAAATTAATATTAATTATAAAAAGAATATTAAAAAGTTTATTTAAAATATTTATATAATTAAATTAATAATAAATTATAATTAATCTTTTTAATAATATTAAATTAATTAACTTAATAAAAAAACTTATATTAATTGCTTATTTATATATAAATTACTTAAAAAATATTATAAATTATTTAAAAATATATTAATTAATTAAATATATATTATTTATTAAATTTTTATTTTATAATACCTTTAAAAGGTTTTTAAATAATTTTAAAGAATATTAATTATAAATATAAAGTTTTAATAATTTAAAAAAGGTATTAATTATAATTAAAGGCTTTTAATAATTTAAGAATATTATAAAGAACTTTAAAGGGTTTATAAGAATTATATAAAGATATTATAATTTTAAGCTTTATTTATTATAATTAATTAATAGGCTTTAACCTTATAAAAATAAGCTTTAATATAATATAAAAAAGGAAAAGCTTTTTTTTTATTATTTTTAATATTAACATTATTTAAATACCTTATAACTTTAAAATATAAAAAAAGCTTATAATAAAAAGTTTTATATAATTATATTTATATAAAAAGGTTATAAAAAATTATAAATTATTATAAAAAAGTATATAATATAATGTTTTTAAATATATTTATTAAAAGAATTAAAAGTTATTATTTTTATATTTATAAATATTTATAAATAACTTTTAATTTAATTATTTATAATTATTATATAATTATTAATTAATATTAATTTTATATTTATAAAAATAATAATAAATATAATATAATTATATATATATATATAATATATATATTATTTAATTTACTTAAAATTAAAAATAATTATAACTTTTATTTATAAATTTCTTTTTAATATTATTATTAAATTTAATATATTTTATTTAATATATTTATTTAATAATAAATAATTTATATAAAAATATTAAATTAATAATATATATATAATATAAAGTTTAAAATTTAAGATTTAAATAAATTTATTTATTATAAATTAGCTTTATGCATTAAAAGTTATAAATGCTTAAATAAAGTTAATATTTAAAATATAAAAAAAAAGGTTTGCTTTTTATTTATATTTATATTAAAGCTTATTTTTATAAAGTTAAAGCTTATTAATTAATTATAATAAATAAAGCTTAAATTATAATATATTTTCTTTTTTTAATTCTTTATAATAAGCTTAAAAAATAATTATTTAATAAAAAATAAAAAATATTATAATTTAATTATAAATTAAATATTACTTTTTATTTAATTATTTAATTATATATTAAGGTTTTTTAAATATATTAAAAGCTTAACTTATCTTTTATAATTAATATATTTTTAATCTTTATAATTTAATATATTAAATAATTAAAATAATTATTTAAATATAAGTTAATTATTAAATTAATAATATTTTTATAATATTTAATATAAATTATTTATATATATTTTTTTATTTAAAGCTTTAAAAATATAAAAATATTATATATTTTATAATTAATTAATATTTAATATATTAATAATTTATTTCTTTAATAAAATCTTTTTAAAGTTAAATATATTTTATAATATTATATTAATTAATATATAATTAATATATTTTAAGCTTAAATTAATATTAAATTAATTATATTTTATTTATATTTAATAAATAACTTTTATATTTTTTTTAAATAAACTTTCTTTTTATTAATTTTAATTAATAAAAACTATATTTTTATTTTTTATAATAATTAAAATAATTATATTAATAATTATTAAGTTAATTATATATAAAATATTTAATATTACTTATTTAAATTATTATAATATTAATATTTATTATTTTATTATTTTAAAATTAAATATTATTTTTTTATTATAATATTAAAAATATTTTTATATTATTATAAAGTAAAATAAAAAGCTTTAAATATTTTTAATTATTTTTTATAATTAAATTAAGTTTTTATTATAAAGATTAAATAATTAATTATTAATAATATTTTATATTTATTTAATTAATATTAAGCTTTTATTTTATAAATTAATTAATTAAATTAAATAAAAAGGTTTTTTTTATAATATTATTATAATATAATTAAGTTAATTTTAATATACTTTTATTTAAAAAGATTTTTAAATATAAAATAAACTTTTTTTAAAAAGTTTTTTAATTATTTTTTAAATATTTTTATAAAATTAATATAAAGTATAAATTAATTATAAAAAGTTTTTAATTAATTAAATATATAAAAAAATTTAATTTCTTTAATATTAATTATTTTTTTATTTATTATAAACTTAATTTTTATTTTTATTAATTAAATTATTAAATAGTTTTAAAATAAAAGTTTTTTAAAATAAAAAAATATTTAATAAGTTATTATTATTTTTTTAAATTTTATTATATTAAGTTTTTTATAATTATATTATAAATTTATAATATAAATAAACTTTAAATATATATTATAAATTAATATTATATTTTTAAAATTATAAATATTTAAATAAAATTAATATTTAAAGTATTTAAAAAAGTATTTTTTATTTATATTTATATTAAAGCTTATTAATTAATTATAATAAAAAAAGCTTAAATTATAATATTATTAATAATTATAAAATTTTAAATTAATATTTTATAATTAATAATTAATAAATTTATATTTTTATTATAATTTATTAATTATAATATAAAAAAAATATTTATTATTTTTAATTATTATATTATATATAATTAAAATTTAATTTAATTTTTATAAATATATTTATTATTATATATATAATAAAAGATAATATATATATTTTATATTTAAAATTATAATAAATAATATTAATTATTTTAATTAATAATATAATAATAAAAAAACTTATTTTTTTATTAAATTAAATTTATATTTTTAATTTAAAAATTTTTTATATTATAATTAATTATTTATATTTTTATTTAATATATATTTAAAAAACATTTTTATTTTTTTAATTATTTAAAATATTAATTTAATATTAATATAAAAATATTAAATATTTAAATTAATAAAATTAATAAAATTAATAAAATTAATAAAATTAATAAAATTAATAAAATTAATAAAATTAATAAAATTAATAAAATTAATAAAATTAATAAAATTAATAAAATTAATAAAATTAATAAAATTAATAAAATTAATAAAATTAATAAAATTAATAAAATTAATAAAATTAATAAAATTAATAAAATTAATAAAATTAATAAAATTAATAAAATTAATAAAATTAATAAAATTAATAAAATTAATAAAATTAATAAAATTAATAAAATTAATAAAATTAATAAAATTAATAAAATTAATAAAATTAATAAAATTAATAAAATTAATAAAATTTAAAATAAAATTAATAAAATTAATAAAATTATTAAAATTATTAAAATTATTAAAATTATTAAAATTATTAAAATTATTAAAATTATTAAAATTATTAAAATTATTAAAATTATTAAAATTATTAAAATTATTAAAATTATTAAAATTATTAAAATTATTAAAAATTATTAAAATTATTAAAATTATTAAAATTATTAAAATTATTAAAATTATTAAAATTATTAAAATTATTAAAATTATTAAAATTATTAAAATTATTAAAATTATTAAAATTATTAAAATTATTAAAATTATTAAAATTATTAAAATTATTAAAATTATTAAAATTATTAAAATTATTAAAATTATTAAAATTATTAAAATTATTAAAATTATTAAAATTATTAAAATTATTAAAATTATTAAAATTATTAAAATTATTAAAATTATTAAAATTATTAAAATTATTAAAATTATTTAAAATTATTAAAATTATTAAATTATTAAAATTATTAAAATTAATTATTAAAATTATTAAAATTATTAAAATTATTAAAATTATTAAAATTATTAAAATTATTAAAATTATTAAAATTATTAAAATTATTAAAATTATAAAATTATTTAAAATTATTATATAAAATTATTAAAAAATTATATTTATATATATATTATATTATATATAAAAAAAATATATAATAATTTAAATTAATTATAAATAATATTAAATAATAAAATATTTTATATAATAAATTAAATATATAATTAAAAAAAAATATAAATATTTAATTATTTATAAAAATATAAAATAAATATAATTATTAATTTTAAATTATTATAAATAAAGCTTTTAAAAAGTTTATAATAATTATTATAAGCTTTTATTTATAAATATTTTTATTATAAAATTTAATTATATATTATTAAATTTATAAGCTTATTTATTTTATTATAATAAAATTATAATTTTAAATTTAATATTTAAATATAAGTAAAATAAAAAATTTTAATTTAATAAAAAGTAATTAATTATTTTTTTTATAATTTATTTTTAATTAAATAAAAATTTATTATTTTATTTAATTAATAATTACTTTTTATTTAATAATTTATAATTATAACTTTATTATTATTATTATTATAAATTATATTATTTTTTATTTATATAATAATCTTTTTAATAATAATATAATAATTATTTTTAAAATCTTTTTTATTTTTTTATTAATTATAATAATATTAAAATACTTTTTAATATTTATAAATAATATTAATAAGCTTAAACCTTTAATATTATTTATAATAAAAAGTATTATATTAAAAATTATATTTTATTTATTATTATTTATAAATAAAAATAAAAAATAATTTAAAATAACTTTATTATATATTTAAAAACTTTTAAAACCTTTTTTTACTTTATATATTTTATAAAAAAGGTTTATTAAAACTTGCTTTATTAAAAATAAAGTTATTAATATATATATATATATATATATAAATATATAATAATAATAATGTTTAAAAAAAATAAGAAATAAAAATTAAAAGAATTAAAAGAATTAAAAGAATTAAAAGAATTAAAAGAATTAAAAGAATTAAAAGAATTTATTATAGGCTGGCCCCAAAGGGGCTGCAGGCTGGCTAGTGCCTTCTTCTATAAGTTAGTTTTGCTAGCAACCTTATAGCTATTTAAGCTAAAAGGTATGTAATAATCCAAGCTCCCTTAGATTATCTAGCCACACTATATAAGGCTTGGGGCAATAGCCCAAGCCCATTACAGAATTAAAAGAATTAAAAGAATTAAAAGAATTAAAAGAATTAAAAGAATTAAAAGAATTAAAAGAATTAAAAGAATTAAAAGAATTAAAAGAATTAAAAGAATTAAAAGAATTAAAAGAATTAAAAGAATTAAAAGAATTAAAAGAATTAAAAGAATTAAAAGAATTAAAAGAATTAAAAGAATTAAAAGAATTAAAAGAATTAAAAGAATTAAAAGAATTAAAAGAATTAAAAGAATTAAAAGAATTAAAAGAATTAAAAGAATTAAAAGAATTAAAAAAATATTTATAAAGATTTATTTATTTTTTTTCTATTTTAATTTCTTTTAAGCAGCTTTCCTTACATTCCCAGCTATTTATTAAAAGAATTAATTAATTATAAAACATATTAATCTGGAGCTAATCTATCTTGTAAGAGCAACTAGCAGGCTTAGCCCACTAATTAAGGGCTTAAGGGCACCCATTTAGGTACCCGGGAGATGCCCGGGCCAGCCAATAATAGGGTACCTAAATATATATGTGTTAGACCCACCCAAATGGGTGTAACGAATTTTCACCCGGGCCGGTAAAACAAATCGAAATGAAAGCTTTCAGTACCCATCACTGGCTTTGAGGCTGCACACCGCCGCAGCCTGGTATTATTGCAAGAAACCTTCCTGAGTCAGGCACGGCCTGCTCGCTTAGACAGTAGCTTTTTAGAAGGCAGGGTATTTATTTTGCTGACTAAGAAAGTATTGGATTTCTTAGTAAATTGCTAAGAAAAATAAGTACTGGGTGGGCGGACAGAAAAAGCTGGGTGGGCAGACTTAGACTTGCGCAGCCTTGTCACCACTCATCGCGACTCCAAGAACTCGAGAGCAACTTTCATGGTTGCAGTCAGGGACGGGATCTGAATCAACGCATCAGCTGAGAAAACACAGTTACCGAAAATTTAACGCACGTGCTCTTTTTCGAATAGGGTCAAATGCGACCCTTCAATATCGAACAGCTTCGTGACGAAGTCGCTTCGGTAGTCCTCCCATCCCAGAAACCGCTGCTTTCTTAGGGCGTTGAATCGCAAGGCGTGCGGGTTCTCGGAAACTTCCTGTCCTTTCGCCCTGAGTAGGACGACCGCCGGTATCTTGCCTTCCTGGGATCCTGAATCAGCCGCCAGGTCCCAGCGCGGGGGCTTCCAAGCATTCATCATGGATCCACTTTGCTTGACGGACTTGGTGACTCGGTCTCGAACTGCGAAGCTGCGGATAGCGCTGAGGCCTGGCCAAGCACTTCCGTCGTCCTCAGCTTGTCCGACGGACGGATAGATCACCTCCATGAGAATGAGACCCTGGACCTCCAGCGTCTGGTGGTTCCGCAGTTCGTATGCCACCTGGACTGCTACCAAGCCGCCAAATGACCATCCTACACGAGTTCTTCGGTGTCAATAAGCGTAATTCGACATAGACAAGAGCATGAGCCTAGAGGAACAAACCTCCTAGAACGATTCTACCACAGGGCGTAGTCTTTTGAATTAGCGAGGCGTAGTGTCTGGCCATCTCGACAATGCCGCCAGTCCATGGCTGCGATGTCATAAACTTAGGATCTTGGCTTGAAATAATCAGCTCTAGTCCAGCCTTGGTATTCAATAGGAGAATAATACATTCCGTAGACATCGTATTCAAGCTTTTCCAGCTTGGTGTAGTTAGCAACAGTTCCGCTGCCGTCGTGGATGAGATATAGTGTGGATTTTCCGGGAGAGCCTGAGCCGGCCCGTTGCTTCTGTATGGTGAGGGGGTTGGTGGACGACATTTTTGAGCAAGCAGCTACGAGATGTGCAAGATAAGCACGTCTCATAGCTCAATTTTGCTCTTGTGATGCACATCTTTATCATTCATTCTGTTGTTCTCATATATAAATACCCCTGACTGCTCCAGTTTAAAGGCTTTATGTAAACATAAGGCTTATTAGATTACTGCAATGTCTTCTGCGAGTAATACTTGTATCCACTCCATGTTTCAACTCTATGCCTCAATTAACAGCTAATATAATTCATTACATACCTAATTATATCCCACAATTAATTAGTTTCCCAGCCCTTATATTAATTAAAACTTTAATAAACTATTTTATATAAATAAATAATTTAATAATATATTATTAAATTATAAAAGATTATTTAAAACTTTATTTAATATTTAATAATAAAATAAATAATTAAAGGTAAAATAAATAAATATAATATTATAATATAATATGTTTTATATTTAGTTATTATTTATTTTAAAAAGAAAAAAATATAAGTTTAAATTTTATTAATATTATATTAATAACTTATAAAAAATTTTTTTTCTTTTATTATAAATAAAGTTATAATTATATATATATATAGCTTATATATTAACGTGGTTTACCAATAAGTAGCCGATATTACCCAGCTATAATTATCTTTTTACATATAAAAAACGTTTATGCATACCTTTATATCTTTATTAATTAAGCTTTAAAATAAATGCAACTTTTTCTTTATATTTTATTATATAAATCCTCTTTATATATTAGTTTTTAAGTATATAATTAAATTTATTATAAAAATAGAAAATATTAAAGTTTTATTAAGTAAACCCTTATTATTTTACTTATTTTCTTAATTATAATATAAAGTTAACTTTCCCTGCATTTCCTGCAAAAAAATATAAAATAGCATAGCTATTTAATATTAACTACTTATTAATAAACTATGTTATATATATTTAAATAATTAATTATTAAATTAAAACTTTTATTTTTTTAATGTTTCTTTTTATATTTTTATATATATATTATATATAAGATATAAGATATAAGCCGTATATATATATATATAAAACTATTTATAAATATATATATATATATATAATTATAACTTTAATAAATAATTTATATTTAATTTTTTATATTTTTTTAAATTTAAAAATTAAGGCTTATTATTATTATTTAAAAGGCATAATTTAGCTTTTTTTTTAAAAAAAAAGAAAGTTACCTTTTAAATTAAATATTAAACTTAAACTTAATTTTTTAAGATAATTATAAATTATTTTAATTTTAAATTTCTTAAAAGTTTTAAAATATAACTGGAAATCCTAGATAACATTGCTTACATTCGGCTTAAACTTATATATTTCTCCAAAATCTAAACCTTTAAAACATATATAATGAATTAACTTCACTTAATATAGCGAGCAAGTACTAGTGAGTACTCTTTATTTAACAAACCCTCAATGGCTAAAGATGTCTTAGGAAAGTAAGCTCTTTTGCACATCATGTTAACAAACATTGCTGCAAACATTGTCTTAGCAATCTATATTTGCATTGATAATGCCAAGGAGTCCGAAACATCCGAGCAAGTCTCTCTGTTACTCTATGACTCGAGAGGATGTAAAGCTTAAATCCAGTCAATAGCTACTTAAATCAGGCGATGCATGATACTGTGCAGTGGGGCTCGGCCATAAACGACATTGGAACCAATCCTAGTCTTTCATTTAAAGACTAACTCTGCCCATTGAGCGGTGAGAATTGTCGTGACTTATGCAGGGATATTCCAAAATGCTGACTTGGTTTCACATCCTTCTTGCTCACCGAATACATACACGGTTGCCCAAGGCAAATTGTGGGGTGGAAGAGTGGAGCCACTTCCAACCTTCAAGGAAATAATGACTTGAAGTCATCTCGAAATGTTCGTCCCAAAGTATCCAACCATGACCCATCATTCTGAGAAAGCATTCGGACATTGCGAATTAGTCTGTACTCCTTCAATCGCCATTCTCTCTGCCAGCTGCCCACCATGGTCCTACAGGAGCCTATTGCCGTGATAGGCTTTGATCTTATGTTTCCTGGTGAAGCCAGTACACCTGCAGGCTTTGCTGAACTCCTCTCCAAAGGCCTGAGTGCTCATGGCGACGTTCCAAAGGACCGCTACAATGTCGATGCTTTCTATCACCCAGACCCGTCCAGGGCTGGTTCGGTCAGTTGTTGGTGTCCTTGAGATGGTCGAATTGGCTAATGTCTTCCCAGATGGCCGTGCGAACTGGTCACTTCCTGAAGGATGACGTATCTAGATTTGATGCACCTTTCTTCTCGTTCACGGCCTCTGAAGCTGCCTCCTTGGATCCCCAACAGCGAATGTTGTTAGAAACTACGTATCGGGCCCTTGAGAATTGTGAGTTGCTAGGCTCCATTAAGGCGACGGAATCGTACATAGATTTGTCATTCTCCGCACAATGATAATCAAAGCTGATTCGCGTATTCTGAAGCTGGAATCACACTTCAGGGGGTTAGCGGGACCAATACATCGGTGTTTTCTGGTGCATTCACCCATGAGTACAGAAGCATCCTCCTGAAAGACCTTGAGATAGAAGATCTGAAGCATGCGCCCCTGGGACTCAATGCGCCTATGCTTGCGAACAGAATCAGTTGGTTTTTTAATCTGAAGGCACAGAGTCTGGCAGTTGAAACTGCATGCTCGAGTAGTCTTGTCGCTTGCCATCTGGCAGCACAGAGCTTGGACAACAAGGAATCATCAATGGTGAGCATGAGCTTCATTGCCAATTCCACAGCCAAGTACTCACGCTCACCACAGGCTATTGTGACTGGTTGTAATCTCATCCACAGCCCAGACATGACCAACCATCTCACCAATCTCGGCGTTCTGTCCCGTGAAGGCAAGTCATATAGCTTCGATGAGAGAGCCAACGGTTACGCACGTGGCGAGGGAATCGCCGTTGTGATTCTCAAGAGAATTTCCGATGCCTTGAGAGACGGTAACACGATTCGTGGCATCATCAGGAACATCGGATGCAATCAGGACGGAAAGTCTCCAGGCATCACAATGCCTACCGCAGAAGCTCAATCAGCGCTGATCAACCGATTATACACTGAAGCTGGGCTGGATCCTGGTTCAACTGGATATTTCGAGGCCCACGCAACTGGCACTGGTGTTGGAGACCCCATTGAGATGAGTGCGATCAATTCCGTCTTTGCGGAGCACTTCACAGCCGAAAACCCTATGTATGTTGGTTGTGTGAAGACGAATGTCGGGCATCTGGAAGGCTCTGCGGGCCTCGCTGGGCTACTGAAGTCCGTTTACATCCTCGAGAGCGGCATCATTCCTCAGAATTTGTGGTTTGAGAAGTTGAATTCCCAAGCAAATCTTGGCAAGGGCCGTTTTCTCATTCCCACGACTGCAGTTCCCTGGCCAGGGCAGGGCGCGCGACGGATCTCCCTGAACAGCTTTGGAATTGGAGGTGAGCCAAATTAGCTATTCTGGTCTTCTTTCCTCTCGTGGACAGCCCAACTGACTACTTCTAGGGACCAATGCACACGTTATTCTTCAAGATGCACGTTCATACCTTGAGAATAATGTCCTGGGCGGGCAATATCTATCGCTCAGCCCCTCGCCAGAGCTCGGAGGAACGCCCAGCAGTGTTGGTTCGGAGTACAGTCTTGTTGGCTCCGAATACCTGCCACAGTCCAAGCCCAAGCTTTACGTCCTCTCTGCATTCGATCAAGGCGGTGTCAGCAGGCTTGCAAACACCTATATCTCTCATCTACAAAAGAAGTGTTCTCATCATGAGGATGCCTACCTAGGCAATTTGAGTTACACGTTGGCAGCCAAACGAACCGCTTTCTCCTGGAGAGCGGCCGTGGTTGCAGACAGCGCTGACAATCTCAAAAGGGCCCTACAAGCACTCGAAGATCAGAAGCCTCTTCGCGCGAAGACAAAGCTGAATCTCGGACTCGTCTTCACTGGGCAAGGAGCACAGTGGCCTGGCATGGGGCGAGAACTGCTGCGGCACCCGGTGTTTAGGGGAAGCATCGAGGCCTCGAGCCGGTACCTCGAGAGCCTCGGTTGCTCGTGGTCCTTGATTGGTACGATTTCTCAGCCTAGTAAGACCTCAATGTTTTAAGTGCTGATCTTCGTCTCTAGATGTGTTGTCCGACAACAACGGTGGTTTGGATATCAACTGCCCCGCTCTGAGTCAACCTGTAGTCACCGCGCTTCAAATTGCACTTGTGGAACTTCTTCAGAGCTGGTCTGTCCGAGCCCATGCTGTCATTGGACACTCTTCAGGAGAGATCGCTGCCGCGTTTGCGGCTTCCGCAATTTCTCGCGAAAGTGCCTGGAAGATTGCGTACTATCGCGGTGTTTTGTGCTCGAGCATTAGTTCTGGAGCCATGATGGCTGTTGGCCTGGGACGTGAAGAGGCAGAAGCCTACGTCGGAAGCGCCAACCATTCGGTCAAGGAAGGCGGAGTCACTATTGCTTGTATCAACAGTCCTAAGAACGTCACTGTCAGTGGCAGCATTGAAGGCATCGACAAGGTTTCTGCACTCTTGGATGCGGACGGTGTCTTTGGCAGAAAATTGCGCGTCACCAATGCCTATCACTCGCCACACATGAATCCAATTGCCGATGCCTACGGCCGCCTGATTGGGGAAATCTCCGCAGGGCCCAACGTCGACGAAAACCAACGACCAAAGTTCTTTTCTTCGTCCTTGGGTAGGGAAGCTGGAGTGGAGCAGCTCCTCGACGGAGCGTACTGGGTTCGCAACCTTCTTCAACCAGTCGAATTCAGCGATTGTCTGCAAGCCATGATGTCAGATCCAGGTGCTGGAAAGACGACATCAAGGAACGCTGCGATCAACCTGCTCATGGAAGTTGGTCCACATTCAGCCCTTCGGTCACCTATCCGCGATACCCTACAGATTGTTCCTGGAGGGAGGGACGTCGCGTACAAATCCGTTCTTGCAAGAGACTCTCCTGCAGATCAGACAACTCTAGAAGCCGCAGGCTGGCTCTTCACGCGAGGATACCACTTAGACCTTTCTGCGGTTGTCGTCAGTAGTGCTGCAAAGAAGGCAGCGACCATGCTAGTCGACCTGCCTGGATACCCATTCGACCATTCGACGTCATATTGGAACGAAAGCCGGTTGAGCAAAGACTACAGGTTCCGCAAATTCCCACGCCATGACCTTCTTGGAGCTCCTATCCCAGACTGGAACCCATCCAACGCGATCTGGGGTCATTACATTCGCGCCAAAGAGAATCCATGGGTCAAGGATCATGTCATCACTGGGAGTACTCTGTATCCAGCGGCAGGCATGCTTGTGATGGCTATTGAAGCTAGCAAGCAACTGGCCGATCCTGCCCTCAAACTGTCTGGCTTTCGACTAAAGGATGTCTCTTTCCACACAGCGCTCGAAGTTCCTGATGACATCGAAGGCCTTGAGACCCGATTCCATCTTCGCCCGCTTTGGGAGGGCAACTCAAGCCAGTCCGCTACGTGGAGTGAATTTGAGCTGTGGGGTTACAAGAACGACGAATGGCGGAATCACTGCCGCGGCTGGATTCAGGCCGAATTCTTCTCGGGCCACACCGTCGTGGATGGGGGCTTAGAGCAAAGGAAGTCTGAAGAGGCATTCGCCAAGATTGTGGACGATTCAGACAGAAGCTGTCTCGATCCACTCACGAACGATCAGGTCTACGATGCATTCCACTCTGCTGGCCTAGGGTACGGTCCAACCTTCCGAAACCTGTCAGATGTAAGTGTCGGCAATTCCCATGAGGCGGCGATGACTCTCACGGCACCGGATCTGCGATCGGTCATGCCCTACGGATTCACACACCCCCACGTTATCCATCCCACCACCCTCGACAGTGCTCTTTCTGCCGCATTCATTGCTCTCCATCGAGGCGGCGCGGATGGCGGTGACATGCAAGCTGCCGTTCCAACTTCAATCAAGGAGATGTGGATCGCTTCTGACCAGGAGGACGACATTCCCCTGCAGTCCATGCGGATTTCCGCTTCAACCAGGGCCATGGGGGCGCGGAAGTTCGAGGCTAAACTGGTAGGAGTCGGTCCTCGATCCCGAAAGCCGCTTCTCGCAATGGAGGGCTTGGTGTGCACATCAATCTCACACGGTGAACCGACTCGAAGGGACACGAGCTCCTGTTACAATGTCGACTGGAGGCCTGATGCTACCCTGCTGCGACAAGAACATGCCCTACGTGTCCTTGGAGTATCTGACTCACTTGTTGACGCCAATGAGTCGGCTGTCTGTTCCGATACACTCGCACTTGTCTACGCATACCTGAAGCGCTACATACAATCCCAAGGCATCCACAGCTTCGATCCAACCAGGACGCATTACCAGAAATATCTTTCTTGGGCACAGCGGTTCATTGCACAACGCGAGGACGATAGGTCGATGCAGAATCGCCTTGACTGGGACGATGAAACCATTACTGCGCTTGAGGCCAAACTGGAGCACGAAAATGCTGGTGGGAGATTAACCGTAGGTGTGGGACGAGTGCTGGGTGAGATATTGTCCGGAAAACGAGACCCTTTGCAGCTTCTGTTCACAGACCAACTGGCCGAAGGCATCTACCACCGACCATACAGCTCTGCCATCATCGGTAGCTACATGCGCACGCTCGCACACAAAAACCCGCACTTGAACATTCTGGAAGTCGGTGCTGGAACTGGTGCTACAACGGGTCCAGTGCTGGACTCACTTGTCGAAGACGGAAAGCCATTGTTTGCGCGCTACGACTTCACAGATCTTTCGCCAGCTTTTTTCCCCAAAGCCGAGCAAGTCTTTCAGACTGTTGCACACAAAATGCAGTTCGCAACTCTCAACATTGAGCAAGATCCCATTGTCCAGAACTTTGAAGCCGGACACTATGACGTGGTTATCGCTTCAAACGTTCTTCACGCAACTAGGAGCATAAACGATACACTAGATAATATTCGCCGACTTTTGAAGCCGGGTGGGAAACTTGTTCTTTTCGAGGTCACGAACCTGGACACGTATGGCAACTTTTCGTTCGGCTTATTGCCAGGCTGGTGGCTTAGCACTGAGCCCTATCGTCAGACCGGTCCACTGCTTACTGTGGCCAGCTGGAACTCGCATTTCGAGGCCAATGGTTTTACAGGTGTTGATCTTTGCTTCGACGATGGACTCGCTCCTGCAGAGTTTAACGTCATGATTGGTACTGCGACTTCGTCTGCCACAGGCGTCGAGAGCGATGCACATGGAGAATCCTCGATCAGCATTATCATCGACGGTCGATGTCAGTTGCAACAGCAGCTCGCCAGTCACTTGCAAGGACAGCTGTCACCCACCCACCCCTCCATCGACACCTTGCCCCTACAGAGCCTGGATGGGACAAATTTCGACCGAAAGGCATGCATCTTTCTTGCGGAGCTCTATGAGTCTGTCCTTGCCACTCCGGATGGGAAGACGTTCGACGGGATCAAGAACATGTGCGGATCGGCACGTGCCATTCTGTGGGTTGTCCAAGGCGGAGGAGTCACTCCAACGAACCCCACCTCAGACATGGTCCTTGGGTTCGCGCGAACCATGCGCATGGAAAACGCAGCTCAATTCGTCACGTTGAGCCTTGCGAGTCTATCTCCAACGGAAGTGACCCACGCTACAGACACGATTCTTCAGATCGTCAAGGAGAAACTGCTTAAGCCCGACTCGTCGGAGATTGTGGATAATGCATTCTGCGAGCACGAAGGCTTTTTGAAGATTCCCCGGCTCGTCGCCGGCTCTGGTCTTTGCACCGAAAAGAGCAAGGCCGGGTCACCTGCTCTGCGTGGGTCCAACTATGAGCCGGAGCCAACGGTCTTCGGAGCCATTCCTGAGCGCGCTCTGATGTTGGAGGTTGCCACCCCCGGTCTTCTAGACTCAATGCGCTTCGTGGACGATGACATATATGGTAAGCCACTTGGAGAGGGAGAAGTAGAATTCCGCATCATGGCTGCCGGCCAAAACTTCCGACATTTGCTCCACGCCCTAGGCCAGTTACCGAACAGCGCCAATGGTGCCGAAGCCTCAGGTATCGTCACTCGTGCCGGACCTAACACACCTTTCAAGGTTGGCGACCGTGTCTTTGGTTGTCACGAAAGGCTGTTCGGCACTTTTGCTCGAGGACCTCATCACTGCTTAGCACCTAAGCCTGACCAGCTATCATTCCGCGAAGCTGCAGCCATACCTATCGTCTTCATGACCGCCTACATAGCCCTCTACGACTATGCCCGCATCAAGACGGGTGAGACGGTGCTGATTCATTCTGCCGCTGGTGGTCTTGGGCAGGCCTGTATTCAATTGGCACAGCTCGCAGGCGCCGAGGTCTTCGCAACGGTTGGTTCACTGGACAAGGTTGATCACCTAGCCCAAACCTATGGCATCCCGCGCGACCACATCTTCTCAAGTCGGGACCTTAGTTTCTCCAAGGGCGTGATGCGCATGACTGGCGGTCGAGGTGTCGATGTCGTTGTTAATTCGTTGTCGGGAGCAGCATTACGTGCAACGTGGGAGTGCGTTGGCTCCTTTGGCCGCTTCGCCGAGTGCGGCAAGAAGGATTTCCTTGCTGCAGCCACGCTTCCGATGTATCAGTTCCTCAGAAATGTCAGCTTCCGCTTGATTGATCTGGAGATGCTGGTTATGGAAGAGCAGGAAGAGGCCGGGCGGGTGATGAGGGAGGTGATGCAACTGGTGGACTCGGGTTCCATCAAGAGCATCCGACCTTTGCATATCTTCCCTTACTCCCAAATCCACGAGTCCTACAAGTTCATGCAGTCGGGCAAGCATTTTGGCAAGATCATCCTGGAATCGCGGCCTGAGGAGACAGTCATGGTAAGCGTTGGCTCTGATTCTGTGCTCGACGACGTGAAGGCTAATCTTTCAAAGGCAATCCCGTCCCAAAAGGCATCATGGTCTTTCGATGCGGATGCAACCTATGTGATTTCTGGTGGCCTAGGTGGCATCGGCCGTGGTATTGCCCGCTGGATGGCCAAGCGAGGAGCCCGGAATCTAGTTCTGCTATCTAGAACCGGGCCGACGCGAAAGTCAGGACAGGCATTGATGGCCGAGCTAGCTGCAAGGGGCGTTACTGCTCTTGCTCCGGCTGCTGACGTCACAGACGCAGCTGCACTGAGAAGAGTACTGGAAGATGTCTCCGTGACACTGCCTCCTGTTAAAGGTTGTATTCAGGCGGCTATGGTCCTCAAGGTATCTTTACCCACGCTAGCTTCTAACCCCGAGTATTTGAGCACCTGTTGACACTCCGTCTAGCCTTCTCTGTTTTCAAACATGTCAGTTGCTGATTACAGGACCTGTGTCGACCCCAAACTGGCAGGCACCCTGAATCTTCAGCAGATGCTGCCCCCGACCATGGATTTCTTCATCATGCTGTCATCATTCGCAGGGCTGATCGGCGAGCCTGGTGAAGCCAACTATGCCGCTGGAAACGCGTATCAAGATTCTCTCGCTCGCCATCTCGTGTCCAAGGGTCAAAGAGCCATTGCAATTGGCCTGGGCATGATGGGATCCATTGGTTACGTAGCTGAAAGCCTTGACAGAGCCGCACAACTAGAACACATTGGCCTCGACGCCATGCGTCCTAGTGAGCTCTACGCAGTACTCGGTGAGCTTTGTGACCCCGACCTACCTCTGCCTTCGGTTCTTGAATCACAGGCAGTGTTTGGAGTCCCCAGTTTCCAGGATTCCCGCTACTGGATGGGAGGACTCCCCTTTGGAAGCGCGATCCTATTTTCATCAACCTTCGTCCTTCTGCTGATGGGTCTGTGGATTTCAACGGTGGGTCTGGAAACAAAGAAGAGATGAGTTACCAACGTCTTCTCAGTTCAGCCGAGTCCGTTGTTGACGCGGTCGATATTGTCATACAAGGTCTCTCCAAGAAGCTCTGGAATATTCTCAAAGTCGAGGTCCAAGCAGATCTCTCAGCGCCTTTGCACACATATGGCATAGACTCGCTTGTTGCGATTGAGCTGCGGTCCTGGATCGTCAATGAGATGGGAGCGGAAACGACCATTTTCGAACTCATGGGAAGTGGGGGATTGGACGTACTAGCACCGATCATTGTCAAACGGAGCAGCTTCGTGAAGGTCGAAAGCACGTAGTTTGTTTTACATGGAGAAACTAGGTTTGTACCGGAATTTCGTGGCTTTTCGGCATTGGGGCTCAGACAGTTGGCTTATAAGACCAGTTCCGAACCCGCCACGAATCTTTTATTCACTGTCACTACTAGGGATGGTGTAATGCTAATAATGTCGTGCGTAATTTTGATTCTCATCTGCGAGATTACCTTCTTCTATGCCCTTCAAGCAACATCCTGAATTGCCTGTACAATGCGTTGTACATCAACTGTCTTTACGGGAACTCGATGATCTCCTCCCCATTCGATGAGAGTCGCTGAACTCTCCTCACAATACAGCTCACGTAGCTTTCGCCCCAAGTGAAGTCCCGGGTCCAACAGTCCGTGGACGTGGATTGTCGGGATCGTTACTAATTTTTCCACTTTCCCGTCTCTGAACTTGAACCCTTCCGAAAATAGGCCCAGGATCTGGTCTGCCTTCTGCATTCCTTCCCCCTTGCCTTCCTCGCTCAGGGCCACCAGTGGTGCAATGCCATGAAGCAATACCGCAAACCTCCAATCCTGGTAACACCCTTTTGACTGAATATCTTCCTGTACTTTCTCCCGGTTCCTTCGCAGTTGTAGTTCGAAGAGCAGGCTTGCTGATAGCTTTGCTCCCTGACTGAACCCGAGAAGACCGACCCAGGGGCCTGTAGCCCCCTTGACATCGTCGTCGTCTATGGCCAGCTGTAAGCTGTCCTCGATAGCCGTAATCACCGCCGTCTTTTCTTTGTTGACGTCTTGAGCCCCAGCCCAGGGTAGCCATGTCCGGAAAGGACCGCAGTCCTTGTACAGAGGCAGTGCGTTGGGACCGGGATCGCTGATGAAAGGCGCATTGGCGAAGACGAGACGGAAATGTGGACTAAGCTGCCTTATGAGAGACCGAGCTTGAGACTGGAAGATGAATGCGTTGGTGCCTCCGCCATGCAGGCACAGAATACGCGGGTAGCTCAAGTTGGAAGCAGCCATCGAGGCCTCAGCGTAAAGACTTCGGTCGCTGGTGCGTGTGAGTATGGGGTGAGGCTTTTCAGTCGGCTGTTTTTGCGTATTCTCAGTTGCGTTACGTGAAAGCTATCCTGACTCGAGCACGCGAGAAACACAGTTTGCTGTACGTGATTATGTCTCTAGACTTGGTGTTAGGCCCACTATCACCAAGCAGCTTTCCAAACAGCCTTATTTAGTTACCAGATGCAGTATCCTAACCCTGCTCACTAACAATTAACAGAATTCATCTAAGAAAAGAAACTTATAGCACATATATATACCCATTATTATTAAAACCTTAATAAGAATACTTAAGTTATACTTTAAGTATGGAGTATACTTAAGTTATAGCTGCACTAAGTGATAAAAAACAATAAGCTTAAGCCTTAACATATAAAAAATCTTTTCTTTTAAAATTTAAAAAGAATTAAAATTAAGCTTTTTTACATATAATATGCAAAGAATTATTTTTCTTTAACTTTAAAATAATTTATTTAAAGAAATAACTTAAATAAGAGTTTCTAAGAATTTTACTTTTAATAAGCGCGACTCTTTTACATTTTCAAGCTATTAAGAAATTCAAGGCTAACCTTTTTTACATACTATTTTTAAAATTAAAGATAAAATTATTAAGTATTTATTAAGAGTAAAATAAAATGTGTTTATATATATATATATTAGTTGCTGTAATAATTAAGTTAAAAGACTGGGTATTTTAGGGGTTTTGTATGGGCAATTTTGAAAAGCTCGTCATTTTTGATCGCCCACTGTACCTTCTGGAGAGTAGCTGGGCGCATGACTAGTGCGCTACTCGGTCTTTGTTCCGTATAATTTCCGAATGGTCCGATGATAATTCTGGCTGACTAGAAGCCTTGGCATACGAATAGCAAGTCATGAGATTATAGGGAGTTTGGAGAAGCGGTGAATAATTATTAACGGATCGGATGGTTTTCATGGAGCCGTAAGTTTCTACCTGTCTAGCAAGGCTTGTGCTTCTCTTCGTAGATCTTCACCAGGTCTTTCCCATACTTTGCTCTCCCGAAGTCCAATACATGTTGCCCAAATGTTTTTTCTTCCTTGTCTCCTTCCCATTTTGGAATCTTTGCTGCTTCTAGGACCTTCAAGACCGCCTCGTCTTCCGGTCTCACAAAGTATGCAACGCTGTAGCGGACAAAATCCTCTTGCTGGCCTGGAGCGGGTAATACACGATGCTTGCCAGAATTGAGGACTCCGTTGGTAAACTTGGTCATTGCATCACCCAAATTGACAATCGCAAAGCCTGGAATAGGCTCCACGTATACCCACCGTCCCTTCTTTGAGAGCCGAGAGGCACTCCAGAACTTGTTGCCATCCGGATGCTCGGGCTCCCACATCTGCAGGCCGCCCAGCCAGTTGAACAGGATGGTGATGCTCCCGAGATCTGTGTGTGCAGTCGTGGCGATCTGTTTCTCCGGATCCAGATTCTTCTTGATCGGAGGACTTCTTGTCATGCGTAATTGGGAGCCCGACCGGTGGCCAATGCGATGACGGTCCTGGATTTCCGACTCAGTGAGGCCAAGCTTGGATCCCCAGGAGGGAAAGCAAGAAGACCCCGACTGCATGCGCTTCGGCGACGAACGGCTTGAGATCCGTCCTTCTACCGTGAATGGTTGGTGGAATCTGGTTTGGGCTGGCCGTGTTGTTGACGATGAAATCTTTCGATATGCTCATGAACTCGACTGTATCGGGGGTGCCCTGGACATCCGTTTTCTGAGCTCCCGCCATCTTGTAGCCATAGATGCTGCCGTTATAGGCTTGGTGGTACTTTTTCTTTTCTTCCAATGGCAGCTGAAAAGTCTCCTCGGCTATCTGAGCCGTTAGAACAGCTCCGTCTTCGAGAGATTTCCCTTTTGGATGGTCGCGTAGGTTAACATAGAAGAACCCATGTTTTTGACAAGCCACAAAGAATCGCTCGACTTCATCGTCGTTTTGCTCAAGGAGTTGCCGAAGTGAAATTTTTTCTATGTGTGCCTTTGGTAGGTCTGATGGGAATGGGGGGTAGCCGTTTGGGCTAAACTCAAAATTCTCGGCCATGTCTCGTGACTTTTGAAACGTGAAAGGCGAACACGACATGGCGGGTGTCAAGAGAGACAGGCGAACTCAGGACCCTAAATACACGTAAGTCTGATAGAGATAGGCCGAGATAGGCCGAGATAGGCACGTAATGCAACCAAAGCACAATATCTTGGCGGTTAACTCGTATCGGTTTGAGTGGCTTGACGCGCATAATAGCATATGCTATTCGTCTAGAATAGTCTGTGAACGGAAAATACTGCCAGACCGAACTCGAAGCTCGAAAGCTGATTGGTTGAAATCCTGCTCGTTCATTGGTCAAGACGAATAGCTCTCAGTGGCCCCGGGCAGGGGCTCGATACTGGTATATGCTTACAAGGATAATCCACTCGCTCGGATGCCTTGATGGTCTCGGAAACTGAAAGTGTGATTGGACGGAGCACAACATGTACTCTGTGGAACACTGATACTTCATAACCCAGTGTAATCGATTGATGTTTGACTTGTATGGCTGCTCTCGGCTCAGAGGCTGACGAAATTACCTACTTCCTCAGATCGCAGCCAGTTTCGCGACGACCTTTTGGGCAATGCCATCCCTCTCAGTTCTTAAGTCTGCGGCAAGAGCATGCGCATTTTCCCTTCTTTCTTTGCCCTCTTCACCTCTCATCTTCGCCAGGATTTCCTCGAACTCGCGCTTCACACTCTCCTCAGTGCCATCAATTTCAGGGCCCCCTCTCATAGGTTTACCTCTGGCATGTCCAGTTCTGATCTGCTAGCCGTCAGGAAACTGGCCATTGGGGATTGGGGCGGGCCGTGATAAATCTACGTACCTGCATCACCTCGAATGCCACAGGCTTTGCTCGTGTTGAAGCCATCGCAGTGTTGATCGCGTTATCGCCTGGAGCCAGCGGCCATCCAATAAGTGGTTTACCTTGTACCAAGCTTTCCACTGTCGAGTTGAAGCCGCCGTGTGCGAACAGCCATCCAATGGCTGGATGCTGCAGGAGGGCCAGCTGATCAACCCACGTATCGCAGACATGACCAACGCCACTGTCGTGGATCTTCTTGATGTCTTCAGCATCAACGCCCTTACCGGCGAACATACCGCCAAGGACCAAAACAAATGGGTATTTCGCCTCTATGAGTGAAGTGATCAGAGCCTGGAAGTTACCCCGGTTGGTTGGAAAGACGAGCGAACTGATGCATCAAAGATTAGCTGCGATGAAGTGGCGCTATGCTTCGCTGAACGACGTAGGAAAACACAAATGGAGTGACTAGGAAACTCCGTGTCTCACCCAAAGGATATCAAGATAACCTCGCCCTTGCCATAGTGTTGAATAAAGGAGAGCAGTTTATCCTCCTTTATAGTTGGGACATCGTGTGACCAACCCCTCGGCGCGATTTGGACACCCACGGGATGCACAGTCGTGTACTTGTTGCATGCAGTCAAGGTGTCGCCCTCCAGTGCCATCGCTGAAGCGCACACGACCCCATCGGTCGCTTTCGCGAGACTTACTGTTTCTCGAAGCATTGATGTCACACCTTTTGTCGTCAGCAAACGACCAGGAGACCGAGTGGTGTGGGGTTCATACCCGCCTGCAGTGGGACTTCACCGAATTCTCGTTCGTAATCATGCATATCCTTGAGTCCAGGGATCGAGATGACCGTGCCGTTGAAATCATCAGACCCATTCTTCGCGATGCAAACCTAGAGGCTGGCATGAGCTATCTTCATGAGCATTAGTTCTTGATCCGGCGTCTTACCCTCTCAGAGATTTCGCTTCGGTCTCTGCCCTCGCGGAGGCTTTCATCAGACATGTACTTTTCGACAATCTCCTCCCAGTCACTGAAACCCCCGACCGTTGAGGGTGCCAGGAATGAGTACAGCCTTGCAGCGCTACCCGCCCAGTACATGAAAATTTTGCACTCGGGTTCGACAATGCTCCTGGTCTGTGGTAGTGTGTGTAGGGATCCGTTCTGGTCCAACATCAACGCGGTCGGCTTCGGCCATACTTGGCCTTCGCTACAGGCCTCATGCAATGTCTCCATCCAACATCTGGATAATTGAGCAATACCCTCTGCAATTGTGTTCTTGCCCACATTCTTGGAAATGCTACAAGACGTGTCAGTCATGACTTGGGCTTGGCACAACAGATGGATGCTTTTATCATTACTTGGGGTCGCCAAATTGAAGAAGGCGAAATCTTTCTTCTGGCAAATCGGGATATCGACTAAAATCTACCGCAGGGTCCTTCCGTTAGACTGTCACTCGAGCCTTTTTCTCCTACCACATGCGGAGGTTTTAAGACGACCTGGGTCCCTACATACCAACAAGAGCATGTGTCACATATGTAACAACCAGAGATGGGTTCGACTGAAGCATCTTGATAATGAGAGCATTGGCACTGATTATGTGCCCCCATACAGGAAACACATACCAGAAGTGGTGCTGTTGGTACATAGCTACTCGGCTTGTTCACCAATGGTTGAGTGGGAAAGGTGATCTGCTATTGGAGTTTTGCGAAGGTTCGGCAGGCGCAGTCCGGTAAGCACAGTGAGCGATACGAGATGCGAGAGAAAACCAAGGTCGCCAACCTAACCTGGGCTGATCCGGACCTTGACCTCGAGGGCCAAACGCGACAATCCGAGATGGGTTTCAAGGTAACTTGACTCAGCTGTTGACGGGGGTAATGGATCTCCGGAAGCTAGGGCGTGCTGTGAGTACGTCTTCCCTGAATCGAACTGGGTCTAATGCGAGCTTATACCACGACGATCATGCCATACCTGACCGCCGGCTTGAGCTGAAACATTCGCGATTCATGTTTTGTTCATTATCTGGTACAGTGCCAAATAGTAGGTTGCAGCACTAGTTTCCTGCAATTAACAGGACATAGATTTGGACCTCCGAGACTTCAGCACTACTGACAAGGCCCCTGCTTTTTGGGCCACATCATTGAGAAGATGTACATCTTGTGTCGCTGTATCCAAATTTCCAGCCTCACATTTGGCAAGTTTCACAATAAGTTCATTCAAGATTCCATTACTGCTAATTCATTTCGTTAAACGAAGATGGAGAGGCCTCCTCTAAGAGCTGTCGGTAAGATTTCTAGTGCGCATTAGCAACCACATCGGATATCTGACGGTCTGACGATCACCAGGGAATTTGGAGAAGTTTCTCATCCATCAGCACCTTGTCCAGTTCTTTAACAACGTGCAGGTTGCTTGCGTTTACTCTCTCCCAGCCAGAGTACTCATTAACCCCCGCAAGAGGCTCCCAGGGCTTGTCTATGCTGCCTTGGGAAAGACGATAGAATGCCATCCAATTCTTGGACTTGCTCTGAAGAACGAGGATAGCCCTGAACCAGCATGGAGGAGACTTGAGCGAGTCGATTTGCGGCAAATCGTCGAGTTCATTGACGCAGATCCCTATGCGCCACTCGACACGTGGATTCAAGAGCAACACCAAAAACCAGTCCACAAACCTCAGGAGCTCCCCTTGTGGCGTTGCGTATCTGTTCATTCGTCGCAGGATGCCGAAGACGCAGTATCATTTGCCCTATCCTTCTCATTCCACCACGTTGTTGGGGATGGTCTGTCTGGAGCGGCATTTCACAGGACCTTTCGTCATGCTCTGAACGAGCTCTTGTCATTGATCACGAACACTCCCGACGATGTAGATTTTGCAGGAAAGGAGATGGCACAAATCCCGAAGCTCGCCCTAGTTCCTCATCTCGAGGAAAGCATGGATCTCCCTCTCACGACATTCTTCCTCCTGAATAAGGCCTTTAAATCATTTGTTTACAATTTCACGGATACACGGGAGTGGACGGGACCACTCATTTCGAACACTCGAGCGCCAATTAGCAACACACGAACCTTTTATCTGCCACAAGAAGTTCTCAGAGGCTTGCGAGATCGCTGCAGAACGCGTCAAACAACTATTACAGCGCTTGTTACAGTTCTCACAGCCCGGAGTTTGGCTCTGTTGTATCCAACTCACACTCGATTTGTGGCTTCAGTCCCGTTCTCACTGAGGAAGTTCTCGAAACATTCGCCAGATGACATGGGCTGCTTAACCGCCATCGCCGAGCCACATTTCTCATCGGAGCCAAATCAGCCATGGGGCTACATGTCGTGTAGGTTCGGTAGCACCCCTGATGCGCCAAGTGCATCCGACGACGAGAAGCTGTGGAAAGAAGCCAAGGCATGCAAAGACCTCATCCACAGACGAAGTGGGTCTTCTACAAATCTGTCAGTCGGCCTGACCAAGTTTGTCGGTGATTACCGGCAACACTTTCTGAACATGGTGGGCGGACGGAGACGGCATGCCTTCACAGTCACCAACATCGGCGTTGTAGATGGTGGTGGATCGCTGTCACCAGCTACAGAGAAGGGACAGGCCATTTTCGATCGAGTGGTGTTTTCAGTGGGAGCTTCGACAAATGGTGCTCCCTACTCCATCTGCCTTGCCTCTGCTACTGACGGTTTCACGTCCGTCACTCTCAATTGGGAGACAGGCGTTGTAGAGGATAGAGACGCACATGATCTTTTGGGTGCGTTGGAGAGAGAAATGAGCCGCTTAGCTGAATTCAAGGTTCAGGGGCGTTAAGCGTTCATCTGCTTTAGTTCCTGGTTTCGGATGGACATCAGACATCTCTGAACGAGTGCCGTTCCACTTTCATCACGGCGCCGTGCTACAAACCCCTCTGTGCTGGGATCACACCAGCCAAAGCGAACTGCGCCGCTCTAATAAACATCCGTTTTGCTTGGAAATCTCTCAGCGAGCGAGTTCTCTGCTTAAAGCTTAGCGGAAAGCCTAATTGTGTTAGAATTTGAAAGACTGAATCGTGACGCGTTTCTGCGATTAATAAATCCACTTTGGCCTAGGGGAAGATTGTCTTGGCTAGCTTCGTCCCGGATACGGCGGTTTAGAGCTAACACTATTCGCAAATTTAAAAACTATTATACTTATAGCTTATCTCTCCTTAATAATTAAACACTTGTATTTTCCTTAATTATAATCCTTATTTATTATTAAAATAATAAATATTTAAATTTATATAATATATATATATATAATATAATTTATTAAGAAATAATAAATATTTATAATATTTATTAACTTTTATTAATCATGATACTTTTTTTAAAAAAGAATTAATAATAATTAATAATAATTAATATTAATTAATATTAATTACTTTTAATTACTTTTAATTACTTTTAATTTCTAAATTTTATTTAACTTAATTAATATAAATATAATATTAATTATATTATTAAAAAGTTAATTTAATATAAATTATATTAAGATATATATTTATCTTAATTAATATTAATTAATTAAAAAATTTATAATTTATTTAAGATTTAATTAATTAAATATTTTATATTTTTTAATAAATTTTTATATTATATTTAAATTTATTATTAAATAATTAAAATATTATAATTTGTTTTTTAAAATTATTATTTATATATTTTTATTAATTAATTAATAAATTTTTAATTAAGATAAAAAGCTATTTTAATAAATATATATTTTATTATTAAAACATTAAATTATTTAATAATTTATTAAATATTAAATAATATTTAAAACTTTTAATTTTAAAAAGAAATAAAAAAAGTATATTAAAATTTAAAAAGGTATATTAAAATTTATAAATAAATATTAAGTTTAAAGATTTAATTTTTTAAATATAAATTTAACATTATTTATTATTATATATAAAATTTAAAAAGAAATAAAAGTAATATAACGTAATTTATTAATAAGTAAAATATATTAATAAATAAAATATCTTTTTAATTTTATTTAACTTTAGCTAACCTTAACATTATCTTAAGGCTAGTTAATAAATAAAAAATTAATATTAATTAATGTTAACTACTTTTAATTCCTTATTTTTAATTAATTTTATTAATTTAAAATAATTAAAGGTAATATAATATAATAAAAAGTTATTAAGATTTTAATAAAATAAGCTTTATTTAATATTAATTATATCCTTAGCTTTTATATTAATTATGTTTTATTTTACTTAATTAAATATTTAATATATATAATATTAATAATAAAAATATATATCTTTTATTTAAAAAGGAAAAAGTTAATTTAACTTTATAAGTAATTAAAAACTTTAAAATAAATTATATTAAATTTAATAAGTTTATATAAAGTTATATTTATTTTTAAGGTTTTATATATTATTTTATTTTATAAAATAAATAAATAATATAATTATAAGGAATTATATATTAATATTTATAAACTTAACTTAATTAACAAGTAAATATTTATTTAATATATTATTAATTAAAATATTTAAGGATTTTCCTTATAACTTTTTAATATAAAAAATATAGCTAACTTTTTATTAATATTATATAATATTAAACTTATAAGTTATTTTTAAAATTAAGTTTAATTATTTTTATAATTATTAAAAATTAATTTAAGTTACTTTATAATATAATAACTAAATATAAAATTATTAATAATAATTTATATAACTTTAATAAAATTAACTTTATAGTAAATATAATTATATATATTAATAAGCATAAAAATATTAAAATAATATAGCTTAATAATTAAAAATAAGTTATAATTATTAAATATATTAATATAAAAAGTTAATATATTTTATTATTTATTATTATTTTAAATGCTTATTATTTTATAAGTTAAGTTATAAAGTTAAATTTCTTAAATAATTAAATTATTAAACTTACTTTAAATAAACAAATAAATAATAAAATTAACTTAAAATAAATTTAACATTTTAATAAATATATTAAATAATAAATAAAAAGTATATATTAATTAAGTTTAATTAATATTAAAAAGATAATTATATTATTTATATTAATATATTATTATATTATTTTTTTTTACTTTAATTATTAAATATTATATTATACTTACATTTAAAATATATATATAATAATTAAATTAATTTTTTTATTTAAGTATTTATTAATTATATTATTTAATTTAAATTTTTCTTTATATTTATAATAGCTTATAATAAAATTTTAATAAAGAATAATATTAACTTTATATTTAAAGAAAATAAAATCTTATTTTAAGTTTTAAATTTTATTATTTTTAAGCTTAATATATATTTATAAACTTTTATATAATCCCTTTTTATTTAATAATAAAGCTTTCTTATATAAATTATAAAAATTATTAATTAAATAATAATAAATATTAAAATAATAATATATAAATTTATTATTTTAAAAGATTAAATCTATATATTTAAGGATATTAATATAATATTTATTAAATATTAAAAGGTTAAAAACCTTAAGTATAACTTAAAAAAATATTTATAATTAAGAAATCTTAAGTTTTTATGTAAAAGAAATAAAAGGAAAAGCGGCTAGTTAATAAAATAAATAATAATATTAAAAAGGTAATTTATAATAAACTAATTAAATAATAATATAATAATTATAATAAGATTAAATATAATATAAAAATTTATAAGAAAAATAAAAAAAGGTTTAATTAATTAACTTTTAAATATATTATAATAAATTTAGCTTAATTAATGTTAATTAATATAAATATATTTATTTGTATAATTTTAAATAAATTATATTTTTAATAATATAATTAGCATTATTTAATGCAAAATATAAGTTTTTTATTAAAAGTTACTTATTTTAAACTTATATTTTACTTATATTAATTACTTTAAATTAATAAAATTAATTAAAAATAAGGAATTAAAAATAATTATTATTAATTAATATTAACTTTTTATTTATTTATTAACTTTAAAGTAATATTAAAATTAATTAAAGTTAAATAAAGTTAAAAAAGTATTTTATTTATTAATATATCTTACTTATTAATAAATTATATTATTAATATTAATAATATAATTATTTTTAAAAAGAGTTAAATTTAATAAATATTTAATTTTTTAATTATTTAATATTAATATTTTATATATATATATTACGGTTTAAGCTTTATTTATTATAATTAATTAACAGGTTTTAGCCTTATAAGAATAAGCTTTAATATAAATATAAATAAGAAGTAAATCTCTTTTTTTATACTTTAAATATAAACCTTATTTAAATACCCTTATAATAAATAATTTAAGGCTAGCTTATAATATATATTTAAAGTTTTTTTATATTATAAACTTTTAATATAATTATATAAAACTTAATATAATAAAATTTAAAAAAATAATAATAGTTTATTAAGTTTTTCCTTATTTTAAGAAACTTTTATTTTAAAAATACTTAATAATTTAATTAATAAAGATAACGGCTAGGTTTATAATAAATAAGAAAATAATTAATATTAAAAGGGCTTAATTCTTTTATATATTTAATTAATTAAGAATCTTTTATAATTAATCTTTATTTTATATTAATTTTATAAAAATATTTAAGGGGTAGTTAAAGAGCTTTTTAAAAAAGGTTTATCTTATATTTAAAAACCTTTTTAAGCAAAGATATATTAAGCTTAGCTTAATTACATTATAATAACATTATAAAGAGAGAATAATAAAATCTTTTACTTAATTTATATAACGGGCTTAAGCTATTGCCTAAGCTATAATATATGCTTATGCTAAGCTTATATTATATTTAACCCTTTTATATAATAAAGCATATACTTAAAAAATAAATTAAAAGTTAAGGCCTTTTAAAGCTTAACTTATTTCTTAAATATTATAATTTATAATTCTTTTTAAATACCTTTTAATAAATACTTAAAGCTAACTTATAATATTAAATTATAATTTTTAAACTATATTAAGAAGGATATTTATATTATAATAATAAATAACTTTATACTTAAAATATTAACTTTTTAATAAAATATATAATTAAAGATTCCTTAACTTACTTTAATATTAAGCTATAAAAATATTTAAAAAACATTTTAACTTCCTTAATTATTTATAATAATACTTATTAATATTAATAATAATATTATTATATTTTTCTTTATAATAATAATTTATTAACTTATAAAACTTAAAATATATATAAATCTTCTTAACTTACCTTTAATTTAATATAAATTACTTTTAATTAAACCCTTATTTAATAATAATTAAAATAGCTTTTTAACTTAAAAGATTATAATATAATATAAGCTATAAAGTAATATAAATTTTATTAAAAATTCTTAAAAATATTAAATCTTTTTATAAAGTTAGCTATTTATTAAAATATAATTATATATTATAATATTATATAAATAAAATAAGCCTTAAAATAACTTTAATATAAATAAGTTTTTTAAATATTTAAAGCATTATTATAAAAACTTATATTAATAAGTAGCTGCTTTAATTAAGCTTAAAATATTTTAAATATAAAATTATAATAATTTTATTTAATTTATATTTAATTTAAATAATTAATAATATAAATTAAAAATCTTAAGTAATTAAATAAAATAAAGTTAAATTATTTTTATAATTAACTTTTTTTATAACTTTATAATAAGGTTATTAAGATATTAATCTTATATATAAATTATAATAAAATAATAAATATATATTATTAAATTATTTATAAATTAAAGGCATAAAACTTTAAATATTAATAATATATAAATTT